GAGAGAGAGAGATAAATAGAGAGAGAAGGATACAGACAGAAAGAAAGAGGCAGAGAGGAAGAGACCTCGATTCTGAATCGGACTTCTTTGCAAGAGGAGTGAAGGAGGCTGTCTACATAAGAGCTCACAGACCTACCCTAAACAGAGACGGGGGGCGACACAAGTTATCTGCCACGTATGTCCCGCTACTATGGCCACGTGTCTCTGACGTCACGTTCCAAGAGTAGACGGGTCCATTCCGTGATCAAGGTTGATGGAGTCAACCGAAAATTTGGGGTAAGTCCCAATACTTTGTTAGTTAGTGTTGGAAGTTAAAGTTTAGTCTTTATTTCATAAGGAAGAGACCTAGTCTTACCATCACAGGCGAAGACATCATTGCAGTAGCTCCACCTGATGAGCGGGTTGCTGGTGTAGCACCACGGCCTGTCCTTCCCGTCCGGGTTCCTACAGTAGTTCCGCTCCAGCCCTGCTGACGGGTAGGCCTCGGGAGTGTGGTTATGGGCGTGGGGGTACTGAGATGTCCAGTACTGACAGGTCTCGTCCCGGTTTGCCAGGCCCCTGTAGCTTGTGCCTTTGTCCTGTAGGTAGTAACAGTCTGTCGATATACATTGGAGATGTTAGCATGGCCGTGATACAATGAATGAATGAATGAATGAATGAATGAATGAATGAATGAATGAATGAATGAATGAATGAATGAATGAATGAATGAATGAATGAATGAATGAATGAATGAATGAATGAATGAATGAATGAATGAATTTTTATTAACGTGTCTTGCGATTTTTTTCGCCTAGCCCATATGGGCTTATAAGACACCAAAACATAAACATGAACATAAACATAGGTACAGAAATCATATTTAACATAAATTCAAGTGTGATTCTTCTAGTACCATTGCCATTGCTTGGTGGAGCATTTTAAATAGTATTCTGTTGTGCCAATGCGTTCAGCACCAAGGACAGGGACAGGAAAATGTCACTAAGACAGCATTAAAAAATATTCTGTTCTACCAAAAGAATCTACACTGTAGATTAGGATTGAGGAATGTTATTACAAGTGAAGACTTTATTGACTACAGGGTATGTGTTTTAATGAGGTTGTGCTATGCACGTATTTAGCGTGCCATGGTATTGTAAATAATGTAGCTGTATGTTCCTGAGAAAACTTACTGCAATCCAGCTCATCGCTACTGTCCCCACAGTCGTCCAAACCGTCACATCTGGTACTCAGATGGAACGCTCTACCATTCATGCAGGCACCAACAGCTGAAAAGTACAAGGGACAAAAATCAAAAGTGGACGACGTCGACATAGCACAGTACCAGTCACCGTGTGTTCCTCGGGATTTTCTTCGGTACTGGGAGCGTTGCCCACCCGCAGAGGTAGATTAGAGCACTCGGTGGAATTTCCCATACCTAGCTCAGGTCTAATCAGAAAGATTGGCTACCAATAAAAGTCACCAATGCTTCGAAGGACTGGGCAGCATGTGGGGTCGTGGGGCGTAGCTGTAGCGTGTTCGGCGTTGAACCAAGAGGTTACGAGTTCGAATCCTACCCATGTCACCGATCTGGTGCCCTGGGAAGAGGCAATTTACACGACTTTCCATACTTCACTCAGTTGAAAATGAGTACCCAGCTTTGGTCAGGGACTTGCCCTGGATAGGACATTAAATGGAGGTCCCATGTTTGGGAGAGCCACGAGTTAGAGCCCACCACAACTTTCAAAAAAAGAGTAGGGCTGCTCGGGGCATGTCTTGGTGTGCTATGGTCCAAATACTCATCTGATTATTCACTACGGACTCCAGGAAGAGTAGCGTAAACTTAATAGAGATCCTAAACAAATAAACAAACAAACAAACCAGATTACTCCAAACAGTGCGTTATCGATTGTTATGTTTACCGAAGGAAAACATTTTGTTTTTGCTCAGTTTCTTCCTCTTCTTCTTCTCCAAACAGTGACCTATGACCTGAACAATGACATAATTTGTTGACGTCTGTCATCATGGTGACTGGTGTTGTGTTACATAATGTTGCAATTTCATGGTCTGCTCTGCTCCTGTCACCATATACTAGTAGCACATGTATGTGAATGTGTTTGAGTAAGAATTAACAGAACAGACCATGTTCAAAGGTAAACATTATGCATTTATTTTGCAAATGTTACTTATCTAGTATTTATTATAAGACAGATAGCTTTCGAAGACATGTATTCCAAAGAGGTATTATTATAAGACTCACGACAAGACAGTTCGTCACTCCCGTCCCCACAGTTGTCGGCTCCATCGCAGACCTTTGACAGACTCACACAGTTTCCGTTGGAGCAAGTCTTCCCGCCTTGTCGCTCACCTGTAGGACCACATTATCTGGATTACTAACTCTTAGTAACGAAAAGAACGTAGTGAGAAAAAGAAAGTTAAAATAATTCAAACCGAAAAGAAAATGACATGCTCCCACAATGATCAGTGCAAAACTGTAGCTAGAAGTAGATATTTCGGTAAGGCCACAGCAATTAATTTCCGTGGATGACATCAGCGCGCGCACTGATTTTCGCCTGATTTTAGAAAAAAAGTTGTCGCCCTGACAGTGGTCAACATGCCGAAAATGGCAAAGATGTCTGTTGCCATGTCGGAACATGGATGGCAGATAACTATGAAGAGAGGAGACACTGTCATTTACTTTGATGCAGTGATGTATTTCATTATTTTTATATGTGATGTTCCCACTGAATCGAAATCATCTGTACAATGATTGAAAGTTTTATTTTTCAGTGATAATGGATGTTGTAATAGTTTGCAGTAAACTTCTTTCTTGTTTAACAGGGGTTATGAAGAATTTGAAAATGTAGGAATCTTGTATTTTTGGCCCGCCTTGTTTTTTTCGCCCTATTGCGCTAGATTTGGAGTCTGCGGAGGATGCCATCCATGAAATTTACTTGCCGTGGCCTAATTAATAATAAATGACATGTTCCTTACAGCAGTTCCGTTCGTCTGAGTTGTCTCCACAGTCGTCTTGTCCGTCACACACCCGTGTCTTGTTGATGACGTCACCATTTGCACACGTCTCCATGGCTAGTGCTGGGACCAATGAGAGAGGGGAATTAGAAAACCGTTTCAAATTTGCATACGCAACATGCGTATGTAAATGAGAGAGGAATTAGAAAACCGTGCCTCATTTACATACGCAACATGCGTCCAAGGACGTTTGGCCTTAGCTCCCTTGAAATACCCATTGCATTCAGAACCCAGCCTATCTAATTCTATGTCTAAAATGGGTTAGGATCAAACACATTTCTTCATAGTCTCCGCGTATCCAGGAATGTAAATTCGCCTCTGGTACGGTTCTGGATACGCGTGTACTATCCAGAACCGTGCCTGAGCATAGTTCTGGATAGTACACGGTTCTGGATACAACAAGGCCCTTAATACAGGCTAAGGACTGTTGATTGAATTCATGCAAGCAATTAAATTCACCGGGCTGGGCGTAGGCAGCCAGTCGGGGATAGAAGGTTACTTTGGCCGAGGACATCCAGCTGTAGCCACGAGAGAGACTCGTAAACAGGTTACAATTTTTGGACACTGAACAAGACTATTTCTTGAGAGGGGTGCCATATACATCAGGGCCCAGCACCCTTCATTGAACCGAGACGGGGCCGACATCGTCTACCAGATACCTTTGACCCAGTGTTGACGTCACACTTCAAAGAATCCAGTTGACAAGCTTCACTGGGTCAGTCTACTGAGGAAGACCAGAGTGACTGGTTGAAAACTCTAGGTGAGAGAATTTTTTTTGTGTTGGACCAAAAAGTTGTAACTTTAAACATATAACTACCAACGCAGATGAACTTTCATGATAGGTTACAATTTCATTAGCATGGCAGTTGAATGATGCATATCGCAAAGAAGAAGAAGAATATTTTGTTTATGTATGTTTATCTAGTACTTGCCACTGCAGTTTCGTTCGTCACTGCCGTCATCACAGTCCACTACCCCGTCACACAGTAACTCGTACACATCACAGTTCCCGTCTGTACACACCTGCATGTCTAACTCTGAACAGGCTGGGGAACATAGCATAGGAAGATTAATATAGTACACGGCGATCGAAATCAACATCAGCATCACCATTAACGTCATTAGCATCATCTCCAAAATCAACATCATCATGAGCAAAATCCTCAACATCAAAAACATCACCAAAATCAACATCATCACCGAAATCAACATCATCACCAAAATCAACATCATCACCAAAATCAACATCATCACCAAAATCACCATCATCACCATCAACAACAACATCATCAACATCATTATAGCTTCAAGACATCAAGAACATCATCAAATAAACATTATCATTACACCAAGGGCATCATCATCAAATTAAATTCATCTACAATAACAACAACAACAAGATCATCAACATAATCATTATCATCACCATCTTCAATGGCTTACCCTGGAAAAACTGGATCTCGTTGATCTCTGTGGACACAGACAGCGCTGAAAACTGCAGGCGCCATTTCTGTGCTGTGACGAGTAACCCGCTCAGCTCCTCTTCCACACCCGTCTGTTCCGTCACGACGTTCCACTGTCGCCGCGACGACGCCCACCGCCAGGCCGTCACGTCAAGCGGGCCGCCGTACTTCCAGATACGGATGCGGGACAGCGTCATGGGGGCCTGCAGGTCGAAGGTAAGTCGCCAGGTGGCGCTGAGAGAACCCTTCCAGCTCGACCCCATGTTGTCGTCCACGACGTACCCGGGAAGTTTTCCGTCACTGTCCTCGCCTTCTGACGTCACCCACGACGGGTCCATCTCAACCCATCCACCTAGAGGAGGACAGATATTACATGTTTTTTGTAGAGGTAAATATTCAACATGAAATAACAGGATGGGCTACGAAAGGAATCCATACTGAATGAGTGAATGAATGAATGAATGAATTTTTATTAACGTGTCTTGCGACTTTTGTCGCCCAGCCCATATGGCTGTACATTACTATTTTCTAAGAAGGCTAATAGTATGTTGAGAATTAACTGACATAGAAGAAAAAATGGGGCAAATACGACATTGTAAAATTAGTTTAGTGCCTTCAACAGCTTAAAGATACGCATGGTTATGGAATTGGTTAGACAATTCTCATTTCTGAAGATGAAATTTATAAGTAGCTAGTAGACTTGTCTAGACTAGACTAGATGATTTCTCTCTTCTCTTTAATTTACATCACCTGCCTTTTTCTTCTATAAATGAAATCGGGAAGTTGAACATGTAAGTTGTGCGGAACTCTTGTGAGCACATGGCAACAAAGTTAGATTGACATGTACTATAATGGGCAGAATATTGGAAATACAATCTTGTCGTATTAAAACAAACTTAAATTGGTACATTCTTGTCATGTCTCAATTAACCAACTGTATCAGGTACAACCACCATCATAGCATGTACGGCCAGACTACTTTTCACGACAGTTGAATTATGCATGTCAAAAACATCTATATTGGGTATTGAATGTGTATCAAATTTCATCTCCAACTAGCCACCAACCCCACAACAGAAAATATACAACCGCGCCACCTACATGGGGGCCTGCAGTGGGGGAGGGGGGGGGTCCCAACAACGCTCTACGCTAAATTTTGAGAGCTGGCTAAGTATAACGCTGAATTCAGGAAACCTCTCGATTACGCTTTACGTTAAATTCCAAGTGGCTACGACGCATTGCGTAGATTTAAAACGGCGAATACGCTCTATGCAAAATGCCGGCGCCAATTACGCTCTACCTTGAATTATCGGTCCGTCTACGTAGAATTAAAACAGCCGATTACGCTCTACGGAAAAAGGCATCCCCCTATATATAACCTTGTATACATCTATTGCATCACTCACTATCTAGTTCTATGCCTTAATGAGTTAGGGTGAAGTTCGGCATAGATTCCAGGTATCAAAAAATGTAGATTCGCTTCCAGTCTCGATTCTGGATACGCGTGGACCATCCAGAACCGTGCAAGAGGATGCATGCTTTTGGATAAAGCACGGTTCTGGATACGACAACATCCCATAGTAGTTAGAATTCTTTCTTCAATTTGAGGTAGGGGACAGACAGGACCCTTGCCTGCAAGGAGAGAGCAGTCGGCCCCCGATAACAATAACAGTTTACTTACCTGTCAGCGACATTGCACCTGGCAGACAACACAGACCCAACAGCAAACACAGCATCAGTTTTCCCATTCTGCTACAGGGTAGCCGCTTCTTGCATATCTAATACTAGTACACTTCTTTACTACTGAATAAAAAATATTTGCGACCAGTTCTAATGTTAACAGCGTCCAACCGTGGTCACCCAGACTGTGACACAAACTAGTCTGAGTTGTGAGCTACGTACCACGACGAGCACTACCAAATACGGTAACACCCTGCGTGCGTGAGGACCGAAATATTCTGCTTCTTCTGACAAATATTTTCTGGCTCATCTCTCGTCAATTATTCAATTATTGGATACCAGAGCAGTGGCTAATATTGACGCGCACTCGCTCACTCATTCACTCACTCGCCAACTCTCACTCACTCACTCACTCACTCATTTACTTACTCAATTACTCACCCACCCATTCACCCACTCTCACTCACTCAGTCATTCACTCCCTCACTCACCCACTCACTCACATAAACACTCGTTCTACAACGTGTAATCTTTTCTAGAAGAATTTAGACATTGAAAAAAATTTAGCGGCGCTTTAGTATTCAATTGCTCTCTTTGGCGCAAAGTATCCCAATCATGTTGGCCTAGTGTACCGTCACTGAGAATTAACTGAGCTGACTTGCATTCGTCGTGCGACTTAGAGCCGACAAGGATCCAAGACAGCTTTTTCCGTAACAAGATAGCCGACATTTGCAGGACACATGCATATCAATCCCAAGAGAGGACTAGGTTTGCGACTCTAAGTTGTACGATCGCGCAAACGTCGTACGATGATCGTACAACAGTCGTATGGCATTTGTGACTCTGGATGCTGACGGCGGGCTGGATCGTAAAGGGGTTGGGTGGTTGTCGGGAACAAGCTGGCCTACGGTACCTCACACTCAGGGCATTATTGAATGAATGAAAGACCTTTATTGTACGTTTGTGCTCTAACAAGCTAAGTACAGGTCATGGATAGACAAAGACATGGATACAGCAATGATACTTAAACTATACATACTAATGTGATCTACTATTTACATTGTTCGACTTCTTCTCGCTTCTTGACACAGTTATAGATGTACGAGCATATAGAATTAGTGATACATGGCTTGTCAAGTTTCATAAGAAATAGGAATTTTTCTGATTCATTTAAATGTGCAAAGCTGGGGAACTTATCTATTATATAAGAATATAGGGAATCTCTCTCATTACTATATAACGTACAATTGACTACGAAATGATACTCATCCTCAATCTTATTTAAATCGCAAAATTGGCAAATCCTTTGCTCTAGAGGGATGCGGTTGTGTCTGCCTTTTTCTATGTGGAGTTTGTGTGAACTTATCCGGAGTTTTGTGAAGACTGTTCTGTGTCGAATGTTTGTAATTTTCAAATAATTTTCCTCGTGGTAAGTATTTTTAATAATCTGTATGTCCGTAATTTGTTGTTGTTCCGCATTTCTGATATAAAAGATTGGAGATACATGTCCTTAAGACGTTGGTTGATGGAAGATATAATTTGGGGCAAATTGAAGGTAGAAGACAAGGACGAATGCCAAACATAGGCAAAACCGCTTTCCTCTAGTGTCTTACGAACACCAGCAGCCCAGCATTTGGCACCTACCGCATCTAAATCAAATTGACACAAAAGGGCGTCTGCAGAGAGACTGTCAGCTGGCACGTTCTGGCGTATTCTGAGGTAGTGTTTAATGGAGTTGAGTGACGCTTCTAACCTCATGGGATATCTCCCTAATTCAGCCATCACAGCAAGGTTACAAGAAGATTTGGGCACATTTAAAGACTGTTTGCAGAATTTTAGGTGCACGGCTTCAATTGGGGATGATTTCGGACTTTTGAAGGATCCCCATATTTCAGACCCATACAATAAAATCGGTTTTACGCAAGCATCAAAGAGTTTGTTCTTTACAGAAATTGAAGCATCGGCTTGATAAATGGATTGATGAATTCCAAAGAGGGCTCTCAGGCCTTTGCTGTGTAAGTATTTGTTGTTTGCTTTGAAAGTGCCAGCTGAATTTACAACAATACCCAGATAACAATAGTTATTTACAATTTCGACTACATTATTATTAAAGAGGAAGTGACAATTTTTCGGTAATCGACCTCCTTTAGTGAAGACAATAACCTTAGTTTTCTTGAGATTTACGTTCAGTTGCCATAATTTACAATACTCTTCTAATCTACTTAAAGAGGTTTGCAGACCTTGTTGTGATTCTGAGAAAAGAACTAGATCGTCTGCATATAACAAGCATGACACTTTCATGTTGTGTAAGCTAGGAGGATCACACAAATGGTTATCAAACTCCTCCGTCAAATCACTTATAAATAAATTAAACAAAGTTGGACTCAAGTTACAGCCTTGTCGAACCCCACAGTTAGTTATGAACGTTTCGGTAAGACCGTGGCTAGTTTTAACACAATTAGTTGTTTTGGAATACATGTCTTTTATAGTAGTAAGAATTTGCCTCCTATTCCAAGATTATTTAATTTTAGTAGCAGACCTTTTCGCCAAACAGAATCAAATGCTTTGCTAAAATCTACAAAGCAAGCATAGAGTTGTGAATTTCTGCTTAGATATTTACTAACTAATGTGGACAATACAAATAGGTTATCAGCTGTTCTAAATTTCTTCCTAAAACCGGCCTGTTGTGGTTTGAAAAGGCTGTAATGTTCTGCAAAGTTCACAAGACGGGTATTTAAAATAGAGGAGAATAGTTTTCCCAGACAACTAATTAGGGATATTCCCCTATAGTTGTCTGGGAGCGATGCGTCTCCAGATTTATGGATAGGAACAATATGACATAAAGACCATTCTTTAGGATAATAGCAGTTTTGCAAACAAGAATTAAAGATATGTAAAAGGGGTTTCCTAATTATTGGCTTTCCACACTTCAGCATTTCATTTATTACCATATCGTCACAACTAGACTTGTTGTTTTTTAGGTTGGATATGGCTGTTTCTAATTCTTTCTCAGTTATTGGAGAGTCTAACATAGAATTATCCATAGAAGTGGTACAAAAGGAAGAACTGTCCACGATATCAGTGTCTGGGGTATCTATATTACGGTTGCTGTCGGTTGAATGTTTGTTGAGATTGAGATTACTAAAGTGTTTTAACCAAGTTTCATCTGTTATCTGATCGCTTACTGCTGTTTTTTCAGGCTTTAATTTATTAACCAAATTCCAGAAGGCATTTGGATTTGTTTCTCTAAGAGACGATAACTCGTTCATGATCTGTTGATGAAGGTCACGTTTCTTCTTTTTCACCAATTTTTTGTATTCTTTTTTCGCTTTGAAGAACCTTCCCCGTATTTCAGGGTTCGACGGATGCTTTTCAAGTAATGTAGCTAAGTTTTTATTTCACGTTTCATCTGTGTGCAACTTTTATCAAACCATCGTTTGTTTACTTTTTTCTTTAATGGAATTTCTTTTACTTGTCACCCTCAAACACTCATGCCCAGCATCTCTTAAAACTGAGCTAAATTCAGAGACCATGTTTCAATTTGATCTGCGGCGGATGCGTTGGAGAGATTATCTTGTGAAATTGCGTGTAATCTTTGTAAGATGTGAGGTTGGTTTAAACATTGAAAAAAGTTTTGCCCTGATTTTTCGTTCCATTTGAATCGTTTGGGTGCTGGTATGACGTTAGCGACTCTATGTTTTTCTTAAACACAATTTTAGCAGAATTTGAGTGGATGAATACAGACAGCATACAATGATCTGAGAATTCCGTTAATGGATTGACACGAAATAATAAAATATGTTTTAAGAAAGATTGGCTAGAAATCATATAATCTACAGTACTGCATCCGTTTGGTTGATAACAAGTAAACTTTCCCTGTAAGTCCCCAGCGACCCTGCCGTTTAGTATAGACAGGTTGGCTTGGATACAGAGGTCACTAATTAATCTGCCAAATTTGTTTGGGGGGGCTTTGTCCAAATGTTGTCTGTCTGGATTGTTTGAATTCACAAAATGATTGTCGTTGTCAAATTGATTGTCATTGTCATGGATTTCATCGTTAACATAGTCTTGAAGGTTGCCAAAACGCGCGTTCAAATCACCCCCTAGGAGAATGAAACCTTGTGAACTGTGTCTGGAGATTTCATTTTCTAAAATTTCTAGAACATGATTTTCTGAGTTTCTATGCGTGGTGGATGAGCTTGGGCTAATATAGACAGTACAAATAAAAAGATCTTTAGACAGTCCTGAAACTTCGCGGTCTATTCTCACCCAGAGGATATCTGAGGACGTGGACGGTACTTGTTTAACGTGTTTTTTATATTCATTTCTATAGAAAAAGATAATACCCCCCGAAGCGCGCTTCGCTCGTTTACTCTTTGTTCTGTTCAAGTGAAAGTAGCTGTAATCTGAAACGTCAATTTTTGTATTTCCTGTAGTCCAAGTTTCTAGAAGCGAAAAGAAATCGAATTTTCTAACATGTGCTAAGAAATCTACGTCTTCTAATTTAGAGCCGAGGCCATGAATGTTCCAAATGCCGAAACTCTTACTTCCGGTGCGAGGGAACGTTTTCATCGCAAATGAAAGTATAAGTAAAATCGTGTCCCTATCCGAGCAATCAATTGCAATATCCAACAACATTAATAGTCTGTTTTACAAATAATCTATAAACTAAAAAAGGGGTAGAAAATATAAAGGTACAGATTGAACTAGTTTTCACAAAATAGTTTTCTCCCAAGAAAATGGGGAAAAGGGAACAGGACTAACATTATGATCTCTTAAGCATTAAACCATCTAATTATCTTTAAGTCTATTCATCAATATTTCAATTATATATTACTGACAAAACGACTTATCCTACCACACCATGGGCGGCCACATCAGGGCAGGATGCCAAGTCCAAGGTGGTGGAGGCACTCGTGGAGGTTGGTTAGGCATGGAGTTTGTAGGTGGGAGACTCCATGGCGTGGGTGGGAGACTGAACATGGGAGGCGGACTGCTCCATGGCCGCTGACTCGGCGGGCTGCTCCAGGGTCCCGGTCGCTGACTCGGCGGGCTGCCCCATGGTCGCTGACTCGGCGGGCTGCTCCAGGGTCCCGGTCGCTGACTCGGCGGGCTGCTCCAGGGTCCCGGTCGTTGATTCGACGGGCTGCTCCAGGGTCCCGGTCGTTGATTCGGCGGGCTGCTCCAGGGTCCCCACTGTTGACCAGGTTGGCGTGGTCCTGATGGTTGATCAGGCGTTCCGCTCGTATCTTTTGGAACGGCACTGGACGTAGGAGTAGGACTTCCGGTCGTTGGGATGTCGGGTTGAGTTTGACCCTGACCTAGAAGTTGTCCTGATGGGTGACTGTTCTTCGGTTTTACCGGGTAGCTGGATGTAGGCGCCCTCGGCAGGGGACCTTGACCTTGTGCTGGGGACGACCCGAGCCTGGGTGGACGAGGAGGTTGCCTCTGACTCTCTGTAGGATATTGGGAGAATCTTGGAGGCCCCGTACTCAATCCTTGGGGCGGCTGGAGGTTTGGCCTGGAACCCCTGCTGGCATATTGACCAAGTCCTAAAATAGGGTTGACCACTCTCTTAATGTTAGCGACAAGCACACGAACACCGAATCTGTTAAGATGGTAACCGTCCGGGTTGTACAGGGTTTCCTTTAACATCCCCGAGTTGGACATCATGTTACTGTTGTCTGTGACGTGCACATAGTCTGTTTCTTCAGCTACCACCTTCAGGAAAGTGTTCACTTGATTACCAACTTCCTGAAGGTTGCTATCCTTTCTGGGAAGGATAGAAGAGAACACTAACTGGGTTTGTGGGAACTTGTCGTGAGACGTCTGAATGAGTTTCCTGAAACTCTCGGATACGGCTGTCGGGTCCCGTGCGTCTCGGATGTCATTTGTTCCAACATGGAAGAGGATGACTTTAGGGTCAGACATAGTAGATCGCTGGATGTATTCTGTAGCCTGAGTTAAGTTGTAGGTCACTTCCTTTGTCACACGTTTAGCGGGATACATGACATCTGTCTTGACTGTCTTTTGTGTTTGAGTCGCCCAGGATTAGCACGTCGGGCGGCATGTCTTTGTTGTGTTGACTTGTCGAGACAGTAGGTCTGGGATTCACCTTGTTCTGAATGGGAGGCTGCTTCTCTCCTGCTTTGTGTGTTTGCTCGCGGTGTTTCGCACGTGTGCTTGAAACTGAGCTGTTGTTGCGGGTCTCATTGTTGACTTCGCGGATCTCGTTGTTGTCACCTTCCAGAGCTTGGAACCTATTGTGCACATTTACATTGACCAGTTCATACAATAGTCTCTCGGCGCGATCAGAGGCCTCTTGGTTTGTTTGGGTTTCCATTGATTTGGACTGGTCGCGTAGACTGGCTGATTGTGCATCGTGTACGGCTCTGGATAACTCATTATACTTTTGTTGAAGCGACTTGACTTGGGTTTCAAGCTCGCACTTGACTTTGTCCAACCGCGCGATATCTTCCACGAGTTGCCTCTTCTCTGAAGCGGAAAGACCGGCACACACATGGTTTCGTTCACCTGACTTTAATCTGTCCTCGAGTACGGAGAGTCTTTGCAAGATTGACAACTCGGAAGTCTTCCTATCTGCAATAGATTCGACAAGGCACGATTCGAGCTTATTTACACTGTCCTGCACATTAGCATAGTCGACAGAAGAGATAGGAGGTGTGCACTGATTACCCTTGTCAGCTAGGTTCTGCGGGGTACCTTCCGACGGCTCTTCTTCTTCTGTACACAGAGCATTGCTGTTAAAATCCAGCAAAGCTTTAGGCACAGTGTTACAGGTAGCGCAAAGTTCATCCGCAACAATAGATTGTTCACATGTTGGGCAGGAAGAGGGGCCATCAGTTGCCGGGGCTGCGGGGGTACTGGAAACTTCGGAAGCTGAGACCGAGAGTTGAACACTGTTATTGATTCTCTCGCTAGTACACACCGCTCCAACTTTCTCTTTCAGTCGAGGGAATTCCTCCAAGAACCACAGTAGATAGGCCGAACCCTGAACTAGGATCTTGTCGGTGGAAACATACACAGTGATACTGACAGAGCCAACGGTCTGTTTTGAGTGAGCGTCGCTGTACACCGTTTTGATATGGCGACCATTCTTCCCCCTGTCAGTCGCCTTAGTTGAGTGGTGTTCTTCACACGTGGTGATCCATGTGGTTGCCCGGTTTGATGGCAGGAATATAGTGATGCTCTGTTCGTTCTGGTTCACACTATAGCCGTTTGAGTTTTTGTGCGACTTCGTTGTGACTTTGGTAGGAACAGTTACGGCACCGCTGTTATCGTAAAGTTGTCTTCGGGGCGCGTCAGACAATACAACAAAAGCTTTGCTCACCTCCCTGTGTCTTACTTCGGCTTCCTTGTACTTCTTGCTCTTTTTTCCGAGTTTACATGCCCTCTCGTATAGCTCGACTTCCTTCTTGTATGAGTCCACAATGTCGGCGTGGGTAGCGGTTGGTAAAACTCCAAGTGTAGTATACAACTCCTCGCGGTCACTGGCGTCCGCCATGGCTCACCGGCTTGGGTTCGGCTTGGGTTTCGCGTTAACCGTAAATTGCCGAAAAATCCAGCGATGAGGGTAAAAGAGACGCAGTATTTGTCGAAGTTGAAGAAAATACACTTAGAGAGACTTAAGTTGTAAAATATTGGATGAAAAAACTCGTTAGGGACACTATTAAACTTATCTTAGCAGGAGCGTGGTGTCAGCGTGACCTGCTCCGCCGCCATCTTGAATCTTCCATTATTACAACTACATGCTACGTACAGTAGTTTTTCTAGATGAACTAATTTGAATGTGGAACTATATACTACATACTAGAATGATGCATCTGATCAGTTAAGGGAAAATATCTTAATACAGCCTCTGTCATACTGTCGATCGCACACCACCATCCTCCCGTCATGTGTAATGGTTAGTCCCATAGGCCGGAGCAATGACCCCCTGGTCACGATATTCCTCACGAAAGTCCCGTCCTGTCTAAACTGTGAAACCCCGTCGTTGTGACAGTCCGTTACAATGACGTCATCGTTGACGTCAGTGATGACGCAGCGCGGACGGTTGAGTTGCCCGGCCCCGGGCCCAAAGGCCCCGCAGGTGCGCAGATACCGGCCCGCGGGGTCGAATATCTTCACGTTGTGGTTGACGAAGTCGCTGACGACGATGTTGTTCCGGCCGTTGGTGGCGACCCTGAGCTCCGACTGAAGCTGGTGTCGTCCCCCGCCCTTCTCGCCGAAGTGCGAGAGAATTTCTCCGCTCGAACGAAGCACGAATACCTGATGATGAGATAAATTGTAACATAATGAGTCACTGTGCGTATGTACTGAGTTCTTGAGTCATGGAGCTTCGGTAGCCTGGGTGCCCGGCTCCGTTTTGTCGCTAACTACCATGAACTACCCAGGCCTAGAGCCAGGCCAGAGCCTCGGAGGACGTGATTCTTTTTTTTTTGTAGAACAGGCGAAAATCAATGCCCGCGCGGGTGTCAGCCATAAATTATAAAATCGGTGTGGCCTTAATAATGAAAAAATTAAAAAGAATACCTGGAACCCCACGGTGACTATGATCCGCCCCAGCCCGTCCACAGCGATGCCTAACGTGTTCTCGTCCGTCTCCGCAGCCCCATACACCTGTATGACACGCGCCTCCCTCCCCTGTCTGTCCAGCACGTGGATCTTATGTCCGTCTCCTGTCACCAACAGGTTACCGTTCGTCAGCGCCGCCACCGACCGGGGAGAAAACTGCAGCTCTACAGTCTTCCTGAAGCCGCCATCTTTGTCCAGGACTTGCAGTCGGCCGTTATCGTGGTCTGCCACTACGATGTCTCTGTCTATAGTGACAGCGACTGACGTAGGGAAGTCAAACTCCCCGTTTCCAGTCCCATTCTTTCCCACCGCTTTAAGAATATGAGGTCCTCTGAGAGAGTGACTAGGACGGACCTGTGACAGAATTGAAACTTGCGTATCCCCTTTCTGTACTCTACCGCCACTTTTGCTGGCTTTCTGTGGTGAGTCACCAATGTGTGATCTTTGCCCTTTCGTTTCTTTACCTTTGGCGGTTTGAGCGCCTTTCTGGTCAGGACTTGCTGCTTGTTTGAATCGAACTTTTGGTTGTGACGGTGAAATCATTGGCCACTGCCTGCTTCCGTCTACGAGTTTCGTCACCTCCTGCTCGATGTTGATTGGTAGGTCGTAGCGGAACTTCGCGAAGTGATTGGTCAGTTCGGCTACCGAGGGCACTGATTGGTCAGCTCTCTGCACCAACCATCCCTTCAAGTCTCCCGCTACGGAACATACCTCCGCTGGGCTCCCGTACCCCAAAACGTTACTCGTGAACTGTGTATAACTCTTCGCTAAGGCAAGATTCATCTCTGTTGCTTCTATAAGAGAATCTACATGGTCTTCCCTGCTAGAATGTACTGCAAGGAGCTGGGAAGTTTGAGAGTCTTTGACATCCATAGCTGCCTGTGTGATGATTCGCGTACGCGTGTCGATCTCTTCCAAAGTCTCCTGTAGCTGCGTAGACAAAGCATCTTTCGCTGGCATCAACTGTTGCAAATTCTTCTCGTGCAAGTCGACAGTTTTCACAACTTGAGCGAGTTTCTTCTCGATGTGTGCCCGCTCCCTGTCCGCCGCCTTCTGTATCTCCACGTACCTGTGATCCTTGTGTTGCGTCACGATGCAGTGCAGACATATCACGAGTCGACAGGTGTCGCAGTAGAACTTGTTGACTTCGTTGTGATCCTCGCACTTGGAGGTCTCGATTGCCCGGAGTTCTGAAGCGATTGCGGTTGACCTGAGCTCCTGGATGGGCACTACTTTGTGCGAGCGAGCCGTTTTTACACGTCGGTGGGCGTCTGTACACACGTGGCACAGGTAATCCTTACAATGCACGCAGTAACACTGCGCGAGAAACCCCGAATCACAAGCGGTACAAGGGACCATGTCATCATCGCTCGTTCCCGTGTTCTGACTCGTACGTCTAGACGGGCTTTGGTCCACGAGATCGCGAAGTTTCACCACGACGAAGTTGTTCTTCAACCCCAGGACGCCATTTTGTGGGAGGGGCACGGACTGTCGACAGATCGGACAAGATAGCCTTAAGGCTGGTCTTTGCTCGAGGATTCTCTCCAAGCACGGCTGACAGAAGGTGTGAAGACACGGGAGCATCTTCGGCTGTTGGAACTCACCCAGACAAACCTTGCACACCAGGAATTCGTCATGAATGTCGCGAAACGTACTTGTAGTAGCCATTTTTTCTTACAGTTGCTTCAGGTGACGTGACGAGGTTTGGGTACTACGTAGAGCAATATTACTTTTAGTTGAAAAATCAGTTACAACTTACGCTCCTCGCACCTTCAGAAGTAGTACCACAAGCACGAGAAATGTTCAGACGCTCTGCAAATAACCACCGACTGGGTAGAAGTTTACAGGGTTCTTTTGAACCACGTTTGAGCTAGGTTTCCTTTTTTGAAAAACATGCCATGTATACATGCTCTCTACAGGCTGTTCAACCAGAATATCTACGTTAGATGCGCGTTCGTGCAGAATAAAGCCCGGGGGCGTCGATCGGCAAACCCACCGCCACGTGTGTCTGGCCCACGCAGTCAGGACGACGTAGCCGCTGGGCATAGGTTATACTTTTTGGCGACGTCTCAGGGAGGAGCCTAATGGTACAGTATTGTGTGCAGTTTGCAAGAATTCTAGGAATGGTACAGGCATTTTGTCCACAGGCATATCTCTGACCCACATCTATGCCAACATTCCTGGAAACGCTTGGGAAGACCTCTCTGGCCCTACTTTCTGTGACCCCGAGGCTCGTTCACTATACACTCAGGGGAGGAGTGCACTCAGTATCTGTCTAGACTTAACAGGTACCAAGTCTTCCTCAAAATCATAAAATCATGGCAGTGCCATGCAAACAATAACCCTAACAGCAACCACCGTCGACATGGCAATGTACGTTTTCATTGCCAGTCTTGTTTAAAAGAGCTTAAAAAAGCGACATGGATAGCTCAGGCTGTTTTGTTGTGTATTGGAGCTCGAGGAATATTTTGTGTTGATGCATACATCTAGGCCTGACTTAACAATGAAAAGATTAATTTTCTGCAGGAAATGGTGTATCGTTTTTAATTGTGCCAGTTTTGTTTTACAACAGAGAGTTTAAGAATGTTTGAAAACCCTTGCGTCAATGATTTTTCTTGTGTCACCTCACAGCACAAAATCACAACACAACATCTATATTCCCGTCTAAGTCCAACTTCTAATATAAGGCCATGTTGATTTGATTATATGGATGACATCCTCCCGGAGCCCCAAAACTGATGCGCGCGTGCGAATAAAAAAAAAAGTTTTGCAAAAAAAAAGTTCTTTTTATTATGAAATCTACGTGGTCATGAGGGTTGAGCAAATGGCACAGAATATGGTTTGGCGAATAATCTAGTCTTCAAGTTCATTTCTTTACAATTTCATCTTTTTTCGTTTGATTTTGGCATTCTACGACATTGGTATAGTTTTTATTAATTTTTTTTGGAACTTATGGTATATTTTTGCTCATTTTGCAACTGTTTTGTACGATTTACAGCATGGTTGAAAACTTTCTTTTTTTTGGAAACGGCCGAAAATTCATGCGCGCGCGGATGTCATCCATATAATCAAATCAATATGGCCTAACTTAAAATATGAGAACCACACTACATCACATAAATGAAATCCTCCACAACTTTATCATACATGTTATGACGACTATAAATCATACCCCTATAGGTCAAATTAAAATGATCTTCTGAAGCTTCTGCCGCGACACAACAATGACCTCCGGACGGAGTATTGTGGGCAGTTGGTTTTTCGTGTTCGCAGGTAAAAAACACGGTTCCCTATGTTTAATCGGCATGTAATCTTATATGCCGTCTGCGGGCATGCCCGTGATGATGCACGCATTTTAATTTTACCGTAGCTGTTTTCGTCGTCGATATAATATTTCAGTAGCACCCCTACATTTATCAGATCAACTCTAACAATAAAGTTTGAAACGTCAACTCTTAAAATCCATAACGTGCTGGATATGTGTTATATGTATATATGTGCTGCTATATGTGTTGGTTATATTTTTATGTTTCTTTTACTCTTGAACTTCACTATTGTTTAAGTTGTTGTAATATAAGTAAGATCTACAATTGCTGATGGTCGATCAACTTTTGTTATATAGAAGAGAGAATTAAATATTTCACACAACGAATGAAAGAAACATAAGACCAAGTGAATATATCATAATGGTACAAAAGACCCTATTTTGCTGTCGGAGTGCCCGGCGAACTAAAACAAGTGCTTTTGCAAAAAGCTGGCATTTGGGCGCGCTATCAGTGCGATATGTTGTACATCTTACATATGCAACCCTGCATCTGCTTGGAAATAACTTTATAGGCATGCCACTCTATAATCTGCTTGAAGATGACTCAATAGTCAGATCATGGATGTCATCAACATCTGCTTGGAGATAACTGCTACATTTACCACCCTACATGTGCTTGCAAATGATTATAGATATGTTCCTTTACATCTACTTTGAGATGATGCTGTACATATGCCACCCTAGACATGAATAGGCTACGGAGATGTACATGTAGAGCAGATATTTTGATTTGAGTTTTGTCTTCAGTGACATTTTAGAAAACAGCAAAAGTGTGGTAGAGATTTTACAGATGACAGAAAGCAAGCTGGATATTGTTTTTGTATTTCTGAAAACATTTAAGAAAATACTGTTGCATTCTGAATTTAAAAAAAAGAATGCGCTGTAATGCAAAAAAGGTTCTTCTCATACTATAGTTAAGCCTATTGCTTTGGCGATGAGCCGCAATATGCAGCAATTTTGCCTAACGTTCAACTCTGCCATGTATACAACAGCATGATTACTCCATGGACGAAATGTAAGAAGTAAAGTCTATTTCAGTCCATAGCCTTCCTGATCCTTAACCATTGATTGTTGTTGGATGTTTTTTTTTTCAAGTAACCAACAAACCACCACAAGGCATAACACCCTAGTTGTTTAAGTACATACAAGCTTTGTAAATTGTACTACCAGACTGACACTCTGACACATGGATTATACCAAACAACACACTTACAGAACCAGATATGCAACTCGGAACACCTTTAAAATAGACAAACCAAAAACACACAGCGCTAAAAAAGCCTTCACATACAGAACTACTGCAGCATGGAACTCTCTACCACATGGGTTGAAAACAATGTCATCACATGAGAAGTTCAAACAAGGCCTACTAGAGCACATGAGGAAAATGAATAAGTAAAGCACATACGATGTCTAGAGACTCCAAATCCAATGCGATAGGGCGAAAAAACTAGGCGGGCCAAAAAAACAAGATTTCTACTTTTTTTCAAATCTTGAGATCATACACCTTGTTAAGCAAACATGATTTTCATTCAGCTGTAACATCGCATAAAAAAGAATGAAATACAACACTGCACCAAATTAAATGTAAAAGACAAAACGATAAATCAGAGCCTTGTCTCCTCTCTTCACATTTATCTGTCACCCAAGCTCTGGCATTGCAACAAATTTGCTCATTTTTGGCGGGTTCCTGTTTTCCCCCCAAATCCAGGCAAAAATTAATGTGCGCGTTGATGTCATCCATCCACAAAAATGACTTGTTGTGGCCTAAATATTTGAGACTTGTGTAGACCTTTAGTTGTAGAAGACCGTACAATAGTCCCTGTACTTCTTGTTGTGTCAATAAAGAATCTGTAAACTTAGCAATTTATGACATATACATTGTCGACGCGACCAATTTCAAGTGAGGCGTCTTCCTTGTCTTGTTTGCTAACCATGGCCGAATACACGACTAACATCAAACAACACATCAAAGTCGTCACTCCCAACACTATAGCGGTCAGCATATGACCGGTCGACATGACAGCAGGCTTGTGGCTTTGGGATACCTTAACCTTGTTCTGGCCCTGCGGTTTAAGTGTTGTAGACACTACCGGTTGATCTGAAGTATAAGTAAACATGAGTGTTGATGACAAAGCCTTAACCTGACTGAAAACACTCGTTGCTTCAAGAGTAGTGCTAGAACCGTCTTTCACTATTTGGGACACTGTCGTTGACAAGAAAGTCGTTTCATTACTAGACATGGTGGGACAGGAAGTGTTTAAGGCGCATTCTTGGGTCTGATTCCCATACTTGTCTTTCCAAAGGGGGCATCTTGAGAAGTTCAACTCGCGAAGCTCTAGGTCTTTCAGAAACGGGGGCGTTTCGCATCGAAACAGAGACGGGTCTATGCGCATTCTACGTGCGATTGAACTCCTATCCATAAAGGCCATGCAGTCACTAGTAAAGTTTGCGCCTTCGCACTTGTCTGTCATGTGTGCGATCTCAATAGCCCATGCGAGGTTACAGCCGCAATGAAAAGGGTTCCCTTCTATGATAACATCATGTCGTACAATAGACTGATTAGCATGCATGTCAAAACCAAGGTTACACAGTGACAGCCCAAACAGTCGGTTATAAGAAATGTCCATCTTTCTGAAAGAGCGTAGGGACGACATAGCTGGAAACAGGTCAACACAAGTCAGACGGTTATACGCTAAATCTAACTCAGAAAGATTCGGCATTTTCTCCAGGCATTTCCAAGGGAAAGTTGTGATGCTGTTATTCTTGAGGTTGAGCTTGTACAAATAGCGCAAGTGCATACACGGGAAGGTGGTCAGGGCGTTATTAGGAAAGTGAAGTTCGAACACTTTCATACATGTAGGCAGTTCTGGAACGCCCCTGAACCCCTTGTTGTCACAGTACATTTTAGGTAGCTGAAAGGTATTGCAAATGTATGAAATGTGGATACGAGACTCAGCTTGATCCATGATGCTGCAACCCCGAATCAGAAATGTCACAATTGATGAGAGCTTGCCGCTTTGGACAGAACATAGTGGAACAAGAAGCAGTACAAAAACGACAGCCGCGCTAGGAGGACGTACGGGGCGTTTGTATCGTATGGTCATATTGTTGGTGGTAAAAAAATTCCAGTGCAAAAGAGAAACCCCCCCAAAAAAGCTAAAAACACGCTAAAAATAATCCCAAACCCACACCTCTGCTTATGCGCAAGGACTTAACACTACTGCTAGTGCCTTGTATAATGGTACGGTCCAAAAAGTGGTCAGCTATTCTAGTAACCAACCACTTTTTTCATTATTCACCACTTATGATGTGGAGGTACTTGTATATTAGTGTATCAGCTAACCGATTTCAGATTCTTGTTTGGTTACTATATTGATATAATAATGAATCAGTGTGGAACTTCCCTCCTCTTTCCAACAAACAAACAAACAAACAAACAAACAAACAAACAAACAAACAAACGAACGAAATATTCCCATTCAGGTCCTAATAAGAAGTATTCTGTAACTGTATAGAGCAGAGATACTTTTCTAGTTCCACTGCAACATACACAAGTTCTGATGTTTCAAATTAATGAGCACATGTACATTGTATGTCTAACCACTACAAGAACTTGTGGCTGGTTGTTTCTTTTCTTGGTTGGAGGGCGATCTTGAGATCTCAGTTCTCAAATGGCCACCGCTACACTTTTCTTCACCAAACTCTCAGTGTGGGCTCCTAAAAATGGAAAGAGTAGAGTCGCTTAGTGTATCAGTTTAGAAACACTGCGCTAAATGAAACAATACATGGAATCAATAAATTAATCAAACAAACAAAAGAAATCATTTGGCTATAAGCAAATGAAAAAACAAGGATTTACATGTAACTAGAAAGGTAAAAGGTGCAAAGCAAATGCATAATGTTAACCTTCGCATATGGTCTACTCTATTAATTCTTACTCTTGGTCTTGGTCAGACAGGAGTCTAAATCCCTCCTGCTATGAAATTGCAACACCCAACACTAGATACCATGGTAACATACGTCTGGTTCATGTCATTGAATTTTTTTTGGAGAAGAAGAAGAAACAGAGTAAAAACAACGTTTTCCTTCCCGAAGGTAAACATAATGTAGGAAATTCAAAACGCTTACATGTACGGAGAGCAGTCGTCCAGTCCAACAAGTACCGGGCCTGGTAGAGACTTGTGCCTATCGCTGCGGCATATGCTGCAATGACGAAGTAAGAAAGGTTTATCTATTTTTCTTCGAGATAGTTGATCACAGGGGATGTATTTCATCTGTTACACAATCACACCTACAGATTAATTTGTCTATACCTCTGTGGCGTATTCTGAAATGGAAAATTAAAAAAAAAAGGTTGATTGTCTACCTCTGGGCTATATTTGATCACGTAGAAGCCATATCATCTATTGCACAATCATAGCTATGTATTCATATTCTTCTGTATACTGTCTACTGCCAGCTATGAATAAGTAAATGGTTGAGATTTATTTTTTTTGTGCAGGATAAGTACGAAGTTCATGTACATCTTCACTTTTGAACCATGCTTTACTTACAAGTTACTGCTGACTTTATTCGACTGTATTAAAAATCTATCTAGTATAAACACCTAAAATGCATGTACCAGCTATCTTATTAGTTAGACCTGAACTACTTTGATAAATTTCAAATACTGTATTGCATATATTACTTCTGTATCAGTATAGCCGGTATAACCGCCCTTCGGCGTAACACACCAACTTCTGATATGAATGTGTCATATTTTACATTACTTGCTAACTTTTGTCGTAATGTACGTTTACATTATCACTTGTCATGGTGATGGAGGGAACACAAACCATAGCATAGTGTGGTGCGTTTTGTCATGTGGTTGCCAACAAAAAACTTTGCTCGCAAAGTTAAGTTGTGAAACGTACTGACAGTGTTATATCAAATTTCCCTGCGCCCTGTCTTTAGTGCTGAAAGGCCATCATATGCAACAATCCTTCCATCTCCAAGGATGCGGCTAATTCTCGGTGTTCACTGCGTTTTTATTCTTTTCTAGTATTTTCAAGACGGCTGTGTTGGTTGGTTGTTACACTGTTCTCTCATTCAATTTTTGTCCTAACATTTGTTGTCAAATCAACATGGCCTTAGTATCTTATATTTCAAATCTAGACAGTTTTTTTTTGCCCTTTTTCTTTCTTTCACGGTCTCTTTCGGGGTCTCCAGAGAACGTCTAACTTAAAAATTGCATTACTACATACGACTACTAGTGTATAAAAAAGGTTTAAGACAGCAAAAATAAGCTGGATTCTTATATCTGCTTGGAAAAGAGCAAATCTGCCTCTTTAACTACAACCCACCTTTTCAGCCAGGTCAATAGTTTGATCGTTTTCAAATAAGGTCTTACCTTCAGAAACGCAGAACAAACGCAGCCTCTTCTGACAGCTGACGGAGTCAAAGTGAGGAGAAAATATACTGATGTGTCTAGTATGGTAGTATGGCCACAGCAAGTAAACTTCATGGATGACATCGTCCCCAGACTCCAAATCTAATGCGACAGGACGAAAAAAAACAAGGCGGGCCAAAAGCAACAAGGTTCCTACATTTTCAAATTTTGACATCATAAACCTTGTTAAAAAACAAATGATACCTACATGTATATTGTGTAAATTTACTGCCAACTTTTACAGCATACACTTGTCACTGAAAAATACAATTAGAAAGTTTTCAATCATTGTACAAATGGATTTGAATCAGTGAACATCACATACAGCACATGTATGAAAGGAATGAAATGCATTACTGCATCAAGACAAGACAAAAACAAGACAAAACAATAAGTCAGATAGAGCTTTGTCTTGTCTCCTCTCTTCATATTTATCTGCCATCCACGTTCCGGCATTGCAACAGACATCTTTGCCCATTTTTGGCATGCTGACCACTTTCAGAGGACAACAAAATTTCTTTTTTTTTTTCCCCCAAAAATCAGGCGAAAATAAATGCACGTGCTGATGTCATCCATAAAAATTACTTGCTGTGGCCTGATAAATAGTCAAGAGTTACAACCATCCATTCTTTTGCAGACTTCATTTTCAAAAAAGTAATTTTACCAGCTGGTGGGTGTGTGTAGAGACTAATCTCGATCTAGATGGAATAAACGCTCGTGTACGTCTGTACGTGAGAACAGCTCAAACTTTAGCCTCCAACAGACTTCTAGCGGGACAGCTTTTGTTTCTACGAGCGGCTAGACGTTAGCCTCTACCATGCTTCGAGAGGCACTGAAAGAAAATTAATAATTATAATCTCCAAGCAGATCTTTCGGTGGGCCCAAGATAGTATCAAATGGATACTGTCTGGCCAATGGATACTGCCTGGCCAATTTAATACTGTCTTGCGCCCACCGACAAATCTGCTTGGAGATTATAGATATTGGCCAAATAGACAGATAACATGCTAGGGGAGTTGGTTTGCTAGAGAATTCACGGTCACCCGGGTGCGGAAAACTGTACTCTCTACCGGACCAACTTCCCTGGCATGTTCTATTTGGCCAATTTCTACTCTTTCCAGCCGCCTCCTGAAGCCTGGTAGAGGCTGACTAGAGTGGTGTTTTTTTTGCTGAGGGAAGGCATGTTACGGGGAGAGTTGTATCCATTGACAGGGCTGTATTCTAGCGGGAAATAGTTTGTTTCTACAAGTGCATAGAGTTGTATCTGCCTGCACTATCCCCATTAAACGTCTGCACAGGATCAGGACTCTACTAAATTTTGGTGTTGTTCCGGACTGACTCGCAAACTTGACTGTGAAATTTGTACTACATTTTCTCTCTAAAGTAACGACTATATATATAATATTTTCAAAACACTTTGAGGGTCTGTGTGGTGTAACGGCAGAGCATTCGGCTCAGAACCAAGAGGTCCCGGGTTCGAATCCTGCCAAGTCACAAACCTTGTGACGACTTTCCTCGTTTCGCTCAGGTGAAAAATGAGTATGCCAGAATGATCATTATCATGATCGCGGGCATTAAAGGAAAACCAAACCAACCAATTATAGTCAATGCCATTTAGTCAAAATAATCAACAAGGTACGATACTTTCAATGATTCAAACATTCTATTCGTCATCAAAATCTCTACACCACATTTATGATAAAAACATCAAATAAAATGTTGTCCTGGGCAGGATTAAACATTTGTGGCTAAGATAACATATCTCAAATTGCCTGCTAAGTACTAGCACTGTAAAACATCTAAATTGTCTATAAAATCAGTGACAAACGTAATACTATTAAATAAACAAACCTACATACTGTATAGCATCTGTGTTAAATAAGAGCTTTTTTACAGCGTAATCCTCTATGAACAGCCATTATTTACAAATTGGCAAAATTATCAAACATACATTTTTGTACAGTACAATGGCCGTCTGAAAAACCCTTACACACCCTCCAATAACCTCATGCAAACACCTACAATCTCTCTACCAAGCGAACTTCTTGTACTATATACAACCCAAAACCACAAACACTTGCAAGCCCAACTCATTCTAAAAGATCATCTTCCTCTTCTGTTTCATCATACACAACAATACGAGAATAGGTTTAAGTAATTATTGTAATATTTTCATAATTAGCGCTGAACTTTTGAAGGAGTAAAATTCAATGGATGATTATTCCATGGTATTAATTTTTCTTTTATTCTGTACTAAATAAAAGCTACGATCAAAACAATGTCACGAGAACGATATTTAGAGTGAATCTAGCTCAATGTAAAAATTTGATGCAAAATTGTAATTGGCCTTGTTTATGTTAGTTACATGGTTGGAACATCAAATGATCCAATGCTTTTGAAAAGTATCCAAAGTCATTTAAGGTATCAATTATATCACCTTTTTTAGTATCCATGAGGCTTTTCAATGCACAGCATTTACAGATGCATCCATGCAGCATTATGGAGAGGGGGGGGGGCTGAGCACCTTTAAGTAGTAGGAAAGTACAATATTCCTGGATATGTACGTAGGTACAGCAGGAGCTTTGTGTATGTACAGGCACCAAACTTAACTAATATCAAGCCCATCTGTGTTGGTAGTTACATGTCTAGAGTTAAAACTTTTGATCCAACACAAAGAAGTTCTCTCACCTAGGGCATTTGACCAGTCACTCTGGTCTTCCTCAGTAGACTGACCCAGTGTTGACATCACACTTCAGAGAAGCCACGTGACAAGTCTCACTGGGTCAGTCTACTGAGGAAGACCAGAGTGACTGGTCGAAAGCTCTAGGTGAGAGAACTTCTTTGTGTTGCATCAATAATATTAACTCTAAACACCAAACTTAACTATCCTCATCCACACAGAGTCTTCCTAAGAGTTTGTCTTCTCTTTCCGTTTTGTCCTGGGTAGTGTGTTACTACCGGACACCCTCTGTGACGACTTTTGCCCCGGACTTGTTCCAACTTGTGACGACGTGCCCTTTGACGACGTGGACTTGGATGAGCTGGGACTTGGCCGACTTCTTGTAGACCGTCTTCTGGAGGCCTGGGTGACTTTGTCTGGCCGTACGAAGATGCCGTAATTGGGCCGACACTTGAAATAACGCACACCTTTCACCTCACCATCGTTCCTACCTGTAGAACGTGATAAAAAAAAAAACATTGAATGTAACTTTTATCAAAATTCATACAGTGATTGTTCAAAGCCATTACATTTCATAGTCACAGTTAAGGCTTTTGCAAGTCAAACCTGTCTATAGAAAATTGAAGAAAGTGGCCCCAGTAGACTTGGGACTGTAGTTGGTCACTGTGGACAAGATTCTTGATGCTTGGGTCAGTGGGGAAAATAATCAACAGAAAGTGGTCATACATGTACATGTAATTCCAGGAAGTCCCTATGCAGCAGGTTTTACTGTATCCAGTATAGGTTTCATTGTAGAATTATCATGTCATGCAGTCTTCTAATATTCTTAAAATGTTTTCATCATCACTGGCTCTGCATGTCCTGCTGTGGAAATATCCTGCAGTTGCAATGTCTTTCTTCAACTTGTTCCAATATCTTTACCATAGTATATGTATAAAAGGATGTTCGATGACATACGTACCAGCATCCATATCCAGCTCCACACCCACCCACGGCCCTGACGCGAATTCCGTCTCGCCCACGAATTTCACCACGCCGTGTTTGTCCCTCCCGACGTCCACGTATTCACCCACGCCCAACCACGGTGGCACCTCGATCACAGACCCCCTTCTGCTGTCTGGTCTACTGTCCACCGAACAAACGCTCAAATTGTCGTCAGCGTCCGACAGGTTATCCGGGGTGCTCGTCTCGGCTGCGTTTAGAAGGGCTGAGTTTGACTCCCCTTCAGGATCCTCAGTCCTTTCTGCGAGCTCTTCATCATTTTCCGTTTCCGGTACGACTAGCTGTGGAGGTTCCAAAGCTTTTGGAATGTCTTCTATCCTCTGTTCTTCGCAGGACATGTCGGCAGAAGTGTTACTTTCTTCGTCCACTTCTTCTGACTCGTAGCTCGCATGCACGCATGCTGTACTTGGCCCGGAGTTTTCGGTATGTGGCGAGAGAGACTCCAACGTTGGAGTCTTCTCCCCGTCCTCTGTTTCAGAAGAAGGCACCTCTTGGCTTGATATGCTTAAGTCTCCCTCCTCCTCAAAGAAAGCATTTGTCTGTTCCGTCGGTGTGACATCCTCTTCCTCTTCTTTAGTCTTCCCCCTGGTTAGAGTATTTGTAGGGGAGTAGTACCCACTGTCTACCTTATACAGAGTCTGGTCCGGAAGTTCGTCTTTAGCAGCCTGAGCTGTAGCTTCAGTGATGTTTGACGCATCATTAGTAGATTCAGCAAGTTCTTCAGATTTCTCTGGGGCTTCCAAAGAAATTGAAGGATGGGCATCATTGAGTACTACAGTTGACGTGTCCTGTGTATTGGCTTCTTCATGGTGGAAATCATTAGGCTTTTCTGTGGACGCTTCTTCATTAGGCATACCATCGTGTATTCTCTCTTCTTCAAGTAACTGTTCCTTTAGTTCAGCACTTGGTGCTTCTGAATCTTCTTCTGGAAGTTCTGTTGGCTCTTCCTGGACTTCGCTTGGTCCTCCTTGGAGTTTCGTTTCGGAAACTGATTCCTGGAATTCGACCAGTTGTTCCTCCACGACTGTTGGTTCTGGCTGATACGGAGTAAGAGGTTCCGAAGATTCCAAACTATCCTCACCGGCGATCAATGCTTCTGATGGTTGTGATGCTGTGATTTCATCATCTTCATTTTTGTTGTCTTCCAAGGACTTAAGTTTCTCAGCTTCCTGTGCATTGCCTTCAAGAACCTGAGTGTCTGTGGCAGTCAGTGTCTGTAGCCCTTCACTTGATGATGCATTAGGGTCTGCTTCAGTGTGCTCAGTTCTTTCCTGTTCTCCATTGTCATCATTTTCTGGCTGTATGACTACATTTGTGTCATCATCTAACGTTGGCTCACTCACATCAACATCCTCAGCAACAGCAGGACCTGATTCTTGGTCAGTTCTTTCCGGTTTACAAGAGGAATCCAGCAGAAGCGTGTTTGGTCTTTGCAATCTGGGGCTAACTTCACTCTGAGATGCATCACCGTCGTGAGTCAGGGAGTCTTCGTCGAAATCACTGTCGGACGTGTCTCGTTTGTCGTCGGAAATCTTTGCAGCAGCGTCTTCTAGATCTGTGGACACGTCTTTCCCTTTCTGTCCATTGACACCGTCATTCAGTATAGCCTCATCTGCGAGTGTAAGGTTGGAGGCTGCTTGCGAACCGTATCCGCTTGAAGTCACGCTTCTGGTCGAGCCTCGCTGAAGATCGTCCGATGCGTCGCTAACCGGCGTGACCAGGTCAGTCTTTGCCACTTGTTCCAGCGGCGGGCTGGCTGCACTCTCCTCTTGATCGGGTACCTCGAAGGACATGTCCAGGTCTTTGGTGGGGTTGTAGGCCTCGAACTCGGCAAAGTCCTCTTCTCTGTGGTTCTCCTCGTGTTGCCGGGGGTTACGGTGAGAGGAGGAGGAGGAGGCAGGGATGTTGATGGAGTGCGTTGCCATGGTTTCATTTTCATCTTCATCATCCGACTGTGGATGGAAAACACAAAATATTAGATGAACCGTTATCAGCCATTTCAAAAACAATCTTGTAGCTCCGATCCTGTTCACACATTATGCAGCACCCCAATACAGCAAAGTCTTAGGAGGAACACAAAATTGTGAAACGCAGACTACATACAGACTTAAAATATCCAAGCCTAGAGAAGAAAACAGTCACAAAACATTGGAAAATGCTAGTTAGCAAATTATGTTTGGGTCAGCACATGCAGTCAATCTAACACACTTCAGAACAAACAAACTAAATTTTGTACAAGTGAAAAGTTAGTACATGTACATGGATGTCAGGTTAGTAGTGTTTACGTTTAACCTTTTCACTGCAGATGAAGCCTTTAGACACCAAATTTGATCTTGTTACAGCTTTAGGCAGCATGGAGAATAGTGCTGTGTACTGGTTTGCTGGAACTATTTCTGGACTTCCGGACTTCCTCTCTCTTATATACTTAATATGTATTTAAAAAATCATGTCACATATTCCCCTTTTTTGCTCCAAACCAGAAAAGATGCCCCATTTTCCATTGGGAAGTATATGCCCTGGGCTTAGGTCCGGACTTGCAAGTCCAGACCTGAAAAAACCTCTGGACTTGAATCTGGACCTGAACATGGGTTTAGGTACACAGCACTAATGGAGAAGGTTAAAGGGAAATAGTGCCACCCCAACCACCACCAGCCTGATGTGGTTAAGTCAGTACCGTGTCTAACGAATCAGTGGAGTTACTGGAGTCAGAACTGTCTGAGCTTCCCGTGTCCTCTTCATGGACATCAAGATCAGACGTTTGTCTAACATCAACTTCTTCCTCAAGTTGGATTTCTGTCTCTACAGCTGAATTATCTTTCTCATCCTGCAGATAACCAAAGGTGTCAAGTCGTATCATCAAAGAACCTAAAAGCTACATTTTGTATACACACGCATAAAAATAACTCCCTGAACAGTGCCTCTCTGGTGAAAAAAAAGGTATGGTATTTCAAGATGAGTTAACAGAATTTTTCATTTTTCTTGCACAATATCATGTCAGTTGTTCTGGCATTTCTGTTTCAATCTACAAAATTTTCCATGACTCTGTTTGATCAAATTTGCCATTATATAGGTCAATCTTTAATACACTGTCTTGTCTTGTATCATCAATGAAGGTTTGACACCCAGGTAAAAGATACTTAATAAAGAATAATACTTTTTTAGATAATGCAAGAGTCAAAACTACATGTACTACTGGATGGGATACAGAGCTAGAGATTATTTTGGGACATTTCAAGTGACATCCACAACTCTTCTTCAGCATCAGAACAAACTGTCTGAACCAGTAAACAATTAGGTATTCTAGTATCATAGTCTCTACTTTTCATCATACTTTGTCTGAAGTTGCATGACTTTGAGGAAAGCAATCTCTTCCAACTAATGCATGTCCAAATCTGGTATGTGAATACGTCTAGCCCTGGATATCAGATTGAAAATGTAATATCGAGCTTTGGTACCATGTGCCTGAGGCCTCGCTTGCTCTTTGGCGGAGACTGCACGTCAGCATGCAAGTTCAGAAACATGGTGGGGGAGGTGGGGTCACTTAAACTTCCCTCCTCCGTCTGTTAGTAACAACAAGAACCCAGTCTTAGCCATCTTCACATGTTAAGAAGTGTTCCTTGTCAGTATATACTACATGGTGAAGTTGTGAAGGAATTTGATACTTCTAAGATGAAATGTTGAAGGAACTTAGTTACTCCTTGGTTATTATTATAATCTTTTGGATACTGATCAGCAGTAAAGACTGGTGATTAAGAGTGTGTTATTTTGTTATCATAATAATACAAAATGAAGGTGAGGTAGCTAGTTAATTAATAACAAAAACAGGCTACAATGTGATCAGGTAATTAGTGGAAGTATGATCATGGTAAGAACAAGAAGGCTATACTATAGTGTACCTTCTTGGTACATAGTTACTGTAATGATTTTTATTTGTTAGAGCATGTGACATTGCTTTCATAGTAACACATGAATCTATAATACTGTACCAGTAATAGTAAAATAAAGTGAAATAAAAGTAATAAATAATGAAAGTAAAACACTGTACATGTGACAAATAGTTCAGCATCAAATTGTAGAGAAAGATTAGGAGCAAAACACCAGTTAGCAGCAACAAGAAAGTTTACAAAGTATTCAAAGTGGAGAGACCACCTAATGAAACAAAATGAGTGAAAGCCCAAACCACACAGGAATACTCCAAAATCACAGTATCCAAACTTGCAGGTAAGAAAGGTGAAGAAGACGACTTTTTGATAGAACCTTTGAAGAATCATAATAAAAACTTAAAGCACACAAGATTCCATCAAAAGTTAAAGCTTAGAGGTAAGTATAAGTCATTCTGGTCCACAGGATAGTAGATAACAGTCCAGGAAAAGCCAAGTGTGTGATGAGTTCTGATCCAAGTTAGAGATAAAACCAGAACTGTGCAGGCGAGACCAAGTATTGAAGAGTCCTGCAGTCCTTAGCTTCCCCAAAAAGAGCTTAAACCATACAGGAATCAAAAAAAGGTCAAAGAATGAAAATTTGGGGTAAGTGTAAGTCAAAGGCAATAGTTTCAACAGTTGGAGATCAGACTAGGCCACTCCAGTCACTGTGATAGAAAATAACAGCCATGCAACAGAAGACAAGTATATCGATGTGAAGAGTCCTGTCCTTAACCCAAAAACAAATGCTTAAGCCACACAGGAATCCATGAAAGCACAAAGATTCAAAAATTGCTGTTGAGAGTATGTCAAAGGCCAAACAGTCAAAACATGGAGGTGTAAGGTAACTCCCAGTGAATGATAGAAGATAACTGTCATGCATCAGAAGCCAAGTGTATGAAGAGTCCAAAAGCCACACAGGAATCCACACTTAGTCTAGTAAACGAGTCAAAAATTGCTGTTAACTTAAAGACTTAGTGTATGTCAAATGCCCAAAAGTCAAAGCAAGGAGGTGTGAGGTATTCCGGTGAATAGATAGAAGATAGCTGCCGTGCATCATCAGAGACCAAGTGTGTGAAGAGTTTGAAGAGTTCTATCCTTAATCCCTGAAAAAACACCAAATGTTCAAACTGCTGCCTGTACCGAGTTAGAGGACGAGGAATCAGAACTGCTGGATGAAGAGGAGCTGTGGTGGGGAGGCGGTTGCCGTGACAACTGGGCAGCCGACGCCCGCGGGGCCATCTCTCCCCGGATCCTGAGCGGCGAGCTTGCGATTGGTTCGTCCAGGAGGAGAGAGATTCTCTTCTCGCGGTCGGCGGATTGGTCCTGCGGACTCGGCTCTTGGAACGGCACTCGGATGAAGATGGGCGACAACGAGATTTCCTCGTCCTCGAAGCGGCTGCCTCGTGGAGCGTCAAGCGAGCTCTCCTTGGGAACAGGAATTTGGACAGGAGCGGATGTTGTGAAGCGAAATGCCCCATCCTCAGTGGCTAGGGGCGTTTTCTCATCTTCCTGTGGTATGTCATCCTGTTGTGTGAATGAGTTTGTGGCACAACATTTTAGTCTTGCTTTCGTTAAGAGTTTCTGTGTGTAGAGGTAGTCAGAGATGTACTTTATTGAACAGATTGTAGGCAGTAGACAGACACAGAAATTGTGCAGCTTTCCCTATAATTATAGTTATAAGAGAGGATGATTTGTAAATACAAGGTACCAGTATGGTACAGTACAACAAAGCAAGAAACTTATTTTAATGTCTATTCATACAATATTTAGTATTGAGAAATATACAGTTTTACTGCCACACTTTACACACCTATAGAAAAAGACAGAAACAGAGATTGAGGTACATATTTATGTAGAAAATGTAAATCATCGAAAGAAAACTATAAACTATTCAATCACTGCAATCAGATGAACACACAAATTACATGACTCTTTCCTCATTCCTTCTATTAATCTAGGAACATCAAGTCTACAAACTTGTACATGGGTTAATAAGTTATGGTTAGTGCTGTGTACCAGTTCGCTGGACCGGTTCCAGACTAAATGTTTAGGTTCAAGTCCAATAAAACCTAAAAGTCAAGAACCGATCACGGACTTATTACAAAAAAAAAAAATGTCACATATCCCTTTTCTGTTCAAACCACATAAAACCTTCCATAGATTGCAAAATCTGTGCTGCAAAATTGCAAACGGGCATTGTCAGCAAGTATCGGCTTCCATGTTATGTGGCCACAGTTTTGCCCAGACAACATTGCAAGGTTGCCAACATGCAATTTTGTATATGCCATGGGTTTAGGTCTGGACTTACGAGTCCGGAACTGAACCTAAACCTCTGGACTTGAATCCAGACCTGAACCTAAATGTGGGTTTAGGTACACAGCACTAGTTATGGTATTAACACATACTAACTGTCAGATCTTAACTGCAGATTGTAATTTTTTTCACCTTTTCCTTGTCCAGCAGTGGTGTGAGTTCCTTGTTTAACTCCTCCAGAACTGGCCTAAGAGGTTTGCTGAACTTGGTGATGGGGCTGGCTGCCTTGGGACTTCCGAAGGGGAAGACTCCGACAGGACTGCCCAGCGGGTAGTCGGGGGATCCCAGGCTGTCACGGCTGCTCTCCTGTACATAGTGCAATGTTATGGCAGTTAGAGCACACAGACATGTCAGGGCTCGAAATACTTGGTGCATGTGCATCTTAGTGCACCCAAATTTGGAGCTGTGCACCCAATTTTTTTCTGTGGGTGCACCAGCACCCATATATTTTTTGTATCTGTATCGATATAGCCGGTATAACGATTTTCATTATCATGATAGGTTTATGTATGTAAAGATGTTAAACGTAGTATATAGCATATTCTAAAAATAATGAATAATTAAGTGTCAGAAAAATAAAGAATCATTGTTACAGTACTTTTCTTTAGAAATGAATTTTTAAAAATTTCTTTGTAAATCACAAGATGTTACAGCTTTAAGAAGAAGAAATTGATAAAAAATGTGCAAGAAAAACTTTCAAACATCCCAAGTTTGGAGAAAGTGGGATGTATCCACTAGGTGAATCCATGAACAGACTTTGGAAATCACAAGATGTTACAGAAACTGATTGTGTGCAAGAAAAACGTCCAAACATCCAAAGTTTGGAGAAAGTGGGATGTATCCACTAGGTGAATCCATGAACAGACTTTGGAAATCACAAAATGTTACAGAATTTGATAGTGTGCAAGAAAAATTTCAAACATCCAAAGTTTGGAGAATATACACATGTAGAATGCCTTTAACCCTAACCTTAACTCTGGGTCTGAACATGTCCTTGTGCAGGTAGTGCTGGTTGGGGAGGGAGTGGTTCTCTGTCAGCTGTAGGGGCAGGGAAGAGCTGATGTCCCCATGGCTCTCTGAACGGGGCTAAACAAGGAGAACACATAAACAGATTAAATTTTGTATTCACATATAAAACTGTTTTGCATCTTAATTTAATGTACGGATGACTTGTCATGCATTACCAGTTTTCATGCACATGTTAGGCAACACCAATTCAATTTGTTGGTTCTCAGAGTTTTTCAGAAAAAATATAAAGCGACAGAGCGAAAAAAACAGGCCTAGGTATCCTATGATTGCCCCAAATGCTATCATTGTGCATCATAGGAGCCATGAAGTCAACATACCAGGCTGGTTTGTAATTCAAACATTGAATTTCAAACTTTAAATCAAACCACTGCATTGATAGATAGAAAAACTGTAACAACTCTGAAGAGAAGGGACTTTCTTCAACTGTTGGGGTGAAAATATGAGCATTTTGGAGTTGATTCAGGAAATGTTTTCTTTTTTTTTTCAAATCAGAAAAAAAGAGGGTGAACCCGTGAACCAGTAAATTAAATTGGTGTGGCCTTATGTTGTTATGTACTGGAAAAGGTTTCTGAAATTGGGCTGGGGCAGACCTACATGTATATGTACATGTATGCCAGGTACATGTACATGTACATTTTGCAGTCTATCATTTTGACTTTGGTGCTGGTATAAAGGCCTTGAATGTGGTACATGTGTGAGCTTGAATGAAAAAAAAATTGTAGATGTCAGGCTTTTTGTCTAAATGAAACCTGAATCTACATACAATTTGTAAGATTTTGAAATGATCAAAAAGAGAAAAAAAGACCTTACGTAGGTATTGATTCTTTGAAACAATAAAAAATCTAATTTATACCCTTTAATGGTTAAAAATGACATAATTTACTTGTGCGAGATAGAAAGACAAATTATTACAAATTATAATACAATGGAACTGCCATTAGCAAACAAGGCCCCATAGGCTGTGCAATTTAGACTGTAAATGACATGCATTAAGTGTGCAAGTGTGACCACAGTGGTCTTGTACCTTGTGACCATGCAAAAGAACATTCTGTGCACTTACCACCCCAAAGTGTAGTTAGTAGTAGTAGAGTGGGATTTAGGTTGTTAAAAGATGGAAGTTAGGGAGGGGGTGATTTTTTTACAAAGAAAACTAAACAAATACTTAGACCAGAGAACGGGTACATGTACAAACTTAAAACTTCTTCCTACCAATCTCAGATGCTGAAAGATAAAGAAAAGAAGGCAAACATTAAGTGTGCTAACTAGTAGAAAAGAGTCACAACATGAAGAACACTCAATTGACTGAATAACATGCATTGGTAACCTATAAGCTTAAAACTCAGGTTTATTTCATGATATTGTATACCAGTGATACACCAATGCAACAGAATTGGAGTTAAGTCATATACAAAATGTTGCAGCTGTGTCAAAACTGAAAAGACAGTTACTGTACAATGTCATGTATATTGCATATACTTCCCCTTGTTCTTTTTTAGAACTGTGATGAACTCTATGATTCTATAATGTATAAAAATGCCCCATCCTCATTTTTAAAAGTATGGACCAAATGTTTCACAGGATTGTAGTAGTTTTATGAGATTAATAATTATACACTTAAAGTCTTGGCATGATCAAGTACACAATACAGGTCATTCACCAGACCTAGGAAAAAAATGTTGTGTTTTCTGTTGGAAAACATTTTGTACAAAGTTTCATCACTCAGGTGTCAGATCATGGAGCTAGAAAAGGTTGATCAGCTCGAAAAATTCATGTCCCTTGCATAGGTCCACACAAAAAAGTCTAGGGCCGGCAGGTTTTTTGAGGGTCGGTCGGGAAACAGGAAACACAACATTTTTTCCCCCAGGCCCAATCAAGGTACGTGTAAAATGTACAAAAAATGTAGTTAACGTTCCTGAAAGTATTCAACTATGGAAAAATAAAAATAAAAGATTTAAGAGCTTACCGATCCATATTCCTCATCCCTGCTTCCAGGGGACTCCAGTCGTGACATGGCCTAAAATAAAACCACAAAACGTCCGTCACTTTGCAAACTGTGATACGGGCCAATAACATTGTAGACTGCACTTGGGATTATACATGTATGTGGTATACTGATCTGAAGAAGAACAAGAGTTTGCTAATTTGAATTAGAGGATTTCAAGACTTTTCTAAAGGAAAAATAACATTGTACTTAATTGTACTCAGTTTGATCTTAGTGACTTTTATCATAAGGCCACATTTAGTTTGTTGGTTCTCAGATTTTTTCAGAAAAAATTTGAAGCAACAGGGCGAAACAAAATAACTAAAAACAGGCCTAGGCATCCTATTATAGCCCCAAATGCTATGATAGGAGCCATGAAGTCAACACAAAAAGGCTCAGTGAATATTCAAACAAAGCAAAACTGTAACAACTGGGAAGAAAAGGACTTTCCTCAACTATTGCCCGGGCCAAAATTTGAGCATTTTTAGTTGATTCAGAAGCAGAATCTTGTTTTTTTTTTGTCAAATCAGAAAAAAATGAAGAGGCAAATCTGAGAACCAACAAATTAAACTGGTGTGGCCTAAGGAATCCGTAAGTCTTTTAAGTCGTCGGAATTAGTTGTTATATGCTACAAAATGTAAATGAGATTTTTAAACAGGTGGTTTCAAAGGATACTAGTAACTGACACACAAAAGTCAACTTTGGTCATAATTGTTACTGTTCATTTTTGGATGTAAATTTTGATTCAGAGTTTAAGCACACATGGTACATGTACCTCAGAGCTCTTACTCCCTCCTACACTGTAGCACATGTCTTGTTTCTTCCTTCACTCATTTGCTAATTAGTAATCAGGTTTTAATTTAAAATTTATGGACACTAATCATTATGTCCCTTGTATCATTTATTATTATCATTATTTGTTTGATATTGGAATTATTTTGTTTACATTGTTGTCTGTCACACGAAAATAAACACATTATTACAGAGTACATGTATTAGAACTTAATATTAGATTTTGATACAGTTAAGAATTATGAATATCAAAATAACAGACTCTGAGTTTATTTTGGGCTAACTCTAGTCACAGTGAGTAGTATTAGAAGTTGTAGCGCTTCTCAAAGGCATATTATGCATACAAAATGTATGTGCATACAGTGTATCACTGGAATTGTTTTCTGTTCAAATCTGTCACATCCTGTACTGTGTTGTAAACAAAATATTGTTTACACGCTGTGTTGTAAACAAAATATTGGCAAGACATTTGAAGTAGCCTTTCTTCCATAGCCAAAACCTATAAATAAATAAATCGTACAAAAACATCATCTTATGTAGGAATGATACACTTTCATCGCCCCTCCCTTGTACAATACAGATTTTAAACTTTGAATGACTCCAGAAAAGACTTTAGAATGAGTTAGCCCCTGGTATCACTGTTTATAAGAGGTGCAAAGATTGCTCCATTTGTAGTCTTAGTAAGTCAGGGTTTGGGTAAGACATGTTGAGGGAAAAAACTCCAGAGTGGGGACGGGTTTTCTTTCGACTGCCTCGCGGACTGACCTGGAAACAAAAGAGTTATCGACAATCGTGTTTCCTCTTCTTTAGAAACTGTACCACAGATGCATAATTACATACTATTTTCTTCCAATACATAGTCTGTGGATCTCTTTTTTATACATCATTAAATTTTGATCTGACAGATGAAATTGGTAGATTATTGTTCCCTTTGGAACTAATTTTTTTACATGTTAGAGTAACTCCTACATTGAGACATCCATCTAAAAATAAGATTAAAAAATACAGTTCAAATACCTGTATGTAAAGTACAATGTAGAAGTATTATACTCAAGTTCTCTCTTTGATGTCACTATGACAAAGGGTCTGAAATCTCAATTAATAAAACATTTTTAAAGTTCTTTGGCATCAAAAGAAGTCTTGAAGTTTCTGTACCAACCTGTTGTATGTTGGGCACACTGGCCACCTTCCTCAGAGGTCGCCCAATGGCAGCTAGGGTCTCCTTCACTGCCACTTCCTGCAGGGAAAATGAAGTACAAAATGTACATGTAGCAATGAATTGACAAATTGTTGCCCTGAAGAAGGTGACAGATGGCCACCTAAATGCTGGATGCAAAAACCCATTGGTTGTTGGATAATAAAATTTCTTATACTGTCTATGGCCAACCTGAAAGAATACAACAGAAGTTCACTGGACACCGTGAGAATATTGCACACCAAACAAGACTATTTTCTGACCAGGGAAAGAGGCTATTTACATCAGGGCCTATCACCCTTCACTCAACCGTGATGGGGGACGACATCGTCTACCAGATACCTTTGACCCAGTGTTGATGTCACACTTCAAAGAAGTCACGTGACAAGCCTCACTGGGTCAGTCTACTGAGGAAGACCAGAGTGACTGGTTGAAAGCTCTAGGTGAGAGAACTTCTTTGTGCTGGATCAAACGTTTTAACTCCAAAAGGAAGTTCTTTACCTGTCGAAGCCTGTCCAGTGCTAAGATACTCTCCACAGCTGACACTCCCTTGGTGTATTTCTCGATGTAAGATTCTCCCTCTGTTGTTTCATTGTCCACTCCAGACACTGCCATCATGGCCAGAGTCTCACGGTCCTCAATTTCTTCTGATGCCTGGCAACAGAGCAGAGCAATTTTTAAAGTTTGCAAAAAAAACAAAAAAAACTGAAGATAATCACAGGTAACAAACAAAATGTTCTAAAATGTAAATGCATGTTCATTTTCTCAATGTATTACAAAATATTCTGATGGTTAATGTTTCTTTATTTTTGTCTTGCATTTAAACTTTCAGATCTTTCCTCGGTAAAGGTCCCACATTCAGATTTTAAGAAAAAGATATCTACACTCGCATTTACCTTTGGTATATTGGAGACAACTTCATACGTGATGCCACAAGCTGTCACCATATCCTGCATGATAAAAGGTACAACAAAAGGTTAAAATATTTCTTGGCACCACCACAAAATACTGGAATTGTATTCATCATAATGTTACATAACGCAGATTTAAAAGTCTAAAAAGGCCACACCCATTTGATTTGTTGGTTCTCAGATTTTTTTCTGAAACAAAAAAAAAAATTGGTGTGGCCAAATGGTCATTTTAAAACTTCCTACATGTACAAGAAAGAAACAGCCTAATACTATTAGATATTTCTCCACCTTTTGCCCAATGTCCAGGTTCTTCTTGAGAGAGGCCATGAAGCCCTGTTTCTTGTAGATGTTGACACAGATCCTCTTCCTCAGCACCAGTTCCATGGAGGCGGGGTGGCTGAGACGTACCGTCACCTTGGTGATGAGGTAAACACGCTCGTTGGACGGCGTGATGCGGTTTAGGTTGATGGAGTCATGGATGGAGCTGTCCCAGGATGCAACAGCACAAACCTACGATAGGAAAGTATGTGTTACTTGTGAACTTATGAAACTACATTCAAATGAAAGCTCATCTGTGTTGGTAGAATCCATAGTTATAAAGTTTAAGCTTGTTCCAACACAAGAAAGAACTCACCATAAATTTTTGGTTGATCCCGTCAACCTTCGTCAGATGTGTGATGCAATCGCTGACTTTTCCGAAAGTCGGAAGCGTGATGACGTCAGGAGCGCATCAAAAGTGGCGGGAAGACGGAATCTGCCACCATCACGGTTCAGAGAGGGTTGACAGAGACAACATATTGTCACCACTTTTGATGCACTCCTGACGTCATCACGCTTCTGACTTCCAGAGAGTCAGCGAGTGCATCACACATCTGACAAAGGTTCACGTGATCGACGGAAAATTTATGGTGAGTTCTTTCCTTGTGTTGGAACAAGGTTAAACTTTCTAACTATAAAAACTACATGTAGACACTTCAGCAGAACGTATCTGCATCTGCGTGAAACCTGTAATGTGTATAGTGCATAGCACTTTTGCAGAACATCTTGTATAGTATAAGGTCCTATTTGCATATTTATGGATGACATCTGGTCTATATATGGTTCTCAAATGTTGTGTCGAAAAAGCAATTTAGAGTTCCATAAATAATCTAAGAACAAAATGTTTACATGACTTTTGTACAAGTAGCTGCAATATACACCTGTAATATACAGCAATCAGTTTTGGTTTGAATCGTGTTAATATGTACATGTACATTTCCAACAACCTCTTTTGGTACAAGAAAATATCTGCCTGGACAAATTAAAAAATCTACACAGATGTTAAGTGCATAAAATCAAAGTTTAAAAGATTTTACTGTATTTTCCCATATTCTAAGAACAATTCTAAAATCCAATTATTGAAAAATGTTAAATCATATAATTGTACAATGTTTTCTTCTCTATTCTTTATTCGCCAAATTTCCATGTCCAAAAAAATAATATCTACATGTACATGTAAGCGCCTATAGCTATAGGAAGCCATTTTTCTGTATTAGACACTACCCGGTAAGTTAATGCCACATCAAAAGCTCTAGAGGCACACCTCTTCAGAGTTGTAGAGTATGGACCAGAAATGTACATCTACAATCTATATGAGATTGGTACATGTGTACATTGTACAGTCCACACTGTGCAACTGTCTGAATATAGTAGAGGGATAAATCTCTTTGAGTACTCTAGCGGACAATTGAGATTTCGTCACAAAGGACAAGACCAAAAGAGAGCTGGAAGAGATCTGTCCTCATTAGAAGAGACTCCAAAGAGAACTGCTGTAGATTCCTTCTTGACACCTAAGGTTGGACCCCCTCAGATACAATCAACTGTTTTGAACAATAGATAATTAAATGGGGATTAGTGTCTAACCCTAACAATGACATAAAAACAACATGGCAGCCATGTTTTCACAGGTAATTTTGAAAGAGACTTTTCAAACAATGGGAAATTTACCTAACAAAACAGTCGTAAAAAAGAGACTTGTAAGAGACTGCAAGAGATCTGAGATAGCATTTGGGAGAACAATGCCTAATCCAAAGAGAACTGCTGAGTACTCAATTGTCTGCTAGAGTACGTAAGAGATTTATTCCTCTCTCTATATATAATGCAAATAAATTAGCAACTCCAAGTTCTTCATTTCTGCCTGATGTGCGTAGATCTGATTATTTACCTCCAGCTCCTGAGAGTTGTTGTACATGGGATGAAAGGCACAGGGAGAGAGGGAACAGGAAAGGTTAGTTAAAACATGCAACAAACACTCCAACCACAGCCCAAACACATTCATGTACGCTTTGCTTCTGCATTCACAAGTTTCCCATCCCCAGGATGCATTGTGAATCCTGGGGTCTAAACCTCATTTGCATAGGATAGGAAGGCATCAGAATGATCCTGTTGATGTTAAACAGCTTGCTTTTCACTGTCTTTTGAGGTGTTGGGGGCATTTTATGCTTGGTCGAATCTGACAACAAATAGAGAATGAAGTTTTTGTGTTCTTTTCAACATGGAACATGTGGTTTGTAACGTTACAGCATAAGTATAGCGTTACCACTATACGTTACAAACCACATATTCCAAAAATTCATTCTCTATCTGTTGTCAGATTCAACCCATAGTAATTTAGTTAATGTTGAGCATAAAATGCCCCAACACCTCAAAACACACTGAAAAACAAGCTGTTTAACGTCAACAGGATCATTTCGATGCCTTCCTGCCCTATGCAAATGAAGTTTAGACCCCAGGATTTGCAATGCGTCCTGGGGATGGGAAACTTGTGAATGGCTTGAAAAACACATTTTTTGTGTGAGCTCTTCAAATGAAAAAAAAATTTTACCAAGAATTTGTTGATGTTTTTTTCAATTGTGCAAAGTATACATAATGTACAGTCACATACAGCAAGGAAGACTGTTATAATATGATGACAAATGAATGAAAACAAAATGAAATGGAGCGCAAATCATGCTGAGCACTGACTGCAATTCTATATTTTGGCAATTTTGCTTATGAATGGCAATGCTTACATATGCACCAATGCAACAATGCTACAAGCATTATCACAGAAAAAATGCATCTTTCTGAAATCCACGTTGTTTAGGCAAGCAATACTTGGCATAGCCATAAGCAAGAAATAATTTTTTTTACAAACTTTCCAACAAACAAGATGCAATGCATTTTACTCTCCAATCACAATGACCTTATCCAAGTAAATTGGTCTACAAATGTTTTGCAAATAGTTCAATGAAAGATCATAATTCATTCCTTGTGATGCCATGAAAATGACTCGATTCAAAACATGCCTATTTGTGACCATGGATAGATGGATGACAACCACTTGAATGTGCAATCAATGAGCTGAATTGATGAATGGACAGGAAGAAATCATGAAAAAAACAGTCTGACACAAAGGAGATCAACAACATCATACTCTGTATAGAAAGCTGAACCTTGTTTCATTACAAAGCAAAACAGAAACTAGTCTTGTTTTCCTTCCTTGTTGAAATATGATCAACTTTCTACAGAACCATTTTACAAACAGATGACCCTTCATAAGAGTCGTTAAACTGGAAACTTATGATTGAGACATCATAAAACAGAAAATCTTCACTGCAACAAGGTAGGAAAAATATTCAAATGAAAGCTCTTCTGTGCTGGTAGAATCCATAGTAACGTGAATTTCAAGCTTTCTTCCAACACAAGAAAAAACTCACCATAAATTTTCGATCGATCTCGTCAACCTTCGTCAGATGTGTGATGTGTTCGCTGACTCTCCGGAAGTCGGAAGCGTGATTACGTCAGGAGTGCATCAAAATGTGTCTCTGTACCGTGACGGTGGGGGATTCCGTCTTCCCGCCACTTTTGATGCACTCTTGACGTCATCACGCTTCCAACTTCCGGAGAGTCAGCGAGTGCATCACACATCTGACAAAGGCTGACGAAATCGACCGAAAAATCGTTCATTTCTTGTGTTAGAACAAAGCACGAACTTTACCATAGGGCAGGAAAAACTTACGTCCTTTTCCATGTACTTGATAATGGGGAGGTTGAAGAGTTTGGTCCCGTGTTCCTTGGGTAGTATAGAGTTCACCCCTGCTGCTTGTGGGCCCTCCCGCAGACCTGGGGTACTCATGTCATCAGCTGGGGGAAGAGGGGCAAGTTGGTTTAACCTTTAGCACACTAAACTAGCCATTTGGCACACACATATACAGGTACATGTATATCAGAGATGTTTCATAAAAGTCAATGAAAAGTCACAGTTTACATTTACATAGCAAGTGTCAAATATTATCATCAAGCTCTATAAAGCTGTTTAATCTACAGGTAAATATGGGTTAGTCTACATGTACATGTACGAATGTACTGTACATGTATGCTTAGATAAAAGATCAGTGTATTGTTTCTCACCATTGAGATCCAGGAAGAGAACAGGAATGTGGATTTCCATGCCATGGGGAGGGGACCTGCAACAGTAGATTGTGTTGATTATTCGGATGAAAACTAAGATAGCAAATAAAGTACTGAAGTTGATTTTCCAACTTATTTTTCTCTGAGACTCAACATTTTAGTCCAAAGCATTTTTTGTGCTCAGAAAATTGTCTCATGACAAATTTCTATATCAAAACATGTTCTTAAGTTAGTTTGAAAACAAAGCACACTTCTATTCTACTTCTCACAAAAGAAAACAAAGTACACTCTACTCTAGCACTCAGAAACTGAACACCATCTACATACAAGCACACCTGTCCTTGATGCTGAACACCATTTACACACCATACACACACAACTAGACCTGTCCTTGGTGCTGAACACCATCCACAAACAGGTAAATACATCTGTCTGCAAACACCATACACATACAAATAGACCTGTCCTTGGTGCTGAACACCATCCACACACAGGTTAACACATCTGTCCGCAAACACCGTACACACATACACTGACAGACCTGTCCTTGGTGCTGAACACCATCCACACACAGGTAAACACATCTGTCCACAAACACACACACTAACTTACTTGTCCTTGGTGCTGAACACCATCCACACACAAGTGAACATGCCTGTCCTTGGTGCTGAACACCATCCACACACAAGTGAACATGCCTGTCCTTGGTGCTGAACACCATCCACACACAGGCAAACATGCCTGTCCACAAACACCAAACACACACAAACACAGCTGTCCTTGGTGCTGAACGCCATCCACACACAGCTAAACATGCCTGTCCTTGGTGCTGAACACCTTCCACACACAGGCAAACATGCCTGTCCTTGGTGCTGAACACCATCCACACACAGGTAAACACATCTGTCCACAAACACCAAACACACACAAACACAGCTGTCCTTGGTGCTGAACGCCATCCACACACAGCTAAACATGCCTGTCCTTGGTGCTTAACACCTTCCACACACAGGCAAACATGCCTGTCCTTGGTGCTGAACACCATCCACACACAGGTAAACACATCTGTCCACAAACACCAAACACACACAAACACAGCTGTCCTTGGTGCTGAACGCCATCCACAAACAAACAAATGAACAAGCACATCTATCCCTGAACAACAGAATTCTGTAACATTCTGTACATCTCTCAAGACTTATGCAGAGGTGGTCTGAGTGTGAGTGTAACTGACCAGTCCGCCGGTGCCCCTGGGATGCCACTGTTGGGTGCCGGCACCAGGACAGCATTTCTCTCCTCTGTCAGACACACCCACTGGTCTATCAGACTCCCCTCACGCTCCTTGTCATTATCACTCTTGTCTGCAAAAAACATTGTAAGAAACACAATTCTCTTATGCCGAGCGTAGGGTGGTGCCCATCTCCATTTCGTAGCCCTTGGGCAAGGAGCAGGGGGCTAGTCCGCTGGTAGTGCTGTGTGTTTGACCCTCCCACACTCTTTCTCATATGTGCTGAGTGCTAAGCAGAGAAAGAAGTGTGATCCATTTTTTAAAAGTCTTTGGTATGACCCGGCCGGGTTTGAACTCATGACCTCCAGGTTACATTTGTGAGCACTCTACCAATTGTGCTATTGCACTGGTAAGAAACACATTAAGACGGGGCACCAAACTTTGGGCAACCTATGATCTACTGCTAACCAAGTCATCTGTACAATGTGATGTCATGGAAGTGGTCGGTTGTTCATTTTTTGACATAGACTGGAGTTGTAAAGTTTAAAATTTGGGTAAGTCCAATTTCTTGAGCTGGAAATAACAGTTCAAACTTGCTTCATAACGACTTCTAGCAACAACTTTCAAGATACAACAGTTCCTGTTCCTGACAACTATTTCCTTAAAGCATTTGAGCAGTAAATTTTTTTAAATACAAACAGGGTTTTTCTAGAAAAATTTAGCATGAGGAAGCAGATCACAAGCATGGTGAGGGAGCGAAGCGACTGAGGGGGGATTTTTTAATGGGATAACACAGTTTGTAATGCTAGAATTTGTTGTATTTTTTTTTACATCTTTACTGGTAAAAGATCATTTTGAGAAAGACTAAAATGTGTAGCCACTTAGGGTTTAATCTGAAATTGATATGAGGGAGTTGGCTAGTTACAAGAGGGAGCAGCGCCCTTATTCAGATGCCTCTGTTCAGCAAAATCCTTGTCTATTTTCTTCTAAAGTATAAACTAAGACATCTTTAAGATAAACTTTCAAGCAGACTTACACTCCTTGTTGATCATCTGTTGAATCTGTTTGTCTAAGTAGTCTCTCCTCCTCATGAGAGCCTCAGACCAGCGCTCCCTCAGCAGTGTGAGGTCGTCCTCCTGATAGCTGTCCAGCCCCTTCTGCAGTTTGCTGCGCGCGGCGACACAGCCGACTGCGATGGACGTGATGCTCTCACAGATGATGGGGAGGGTGCCGGAGTTGTGGACAGGTTTTACCTTGACCTGGATACGTCTGGAGTGGCCCTGTAGGTAGGTAGATAATACAATAATCAATTCATTACAAGAATCACAGTACGTTTTACTGATAATCATGTACAAAATTATTTTCTCTTTCTCTATAGGACCTGGTGCTTTAACAAAGAGATTTCTATTATCAATTTACTAATAGATAATTGGCAATGATGATGGATTGTGAGTGCAACACATTAATAAAGATATTCTTTTACACAACCAAGACTTTTATTCAGCCAACATTTCGGGGACCGTCTGTCACCTTCCTCAGGGCAATTCTGAATGGTTTACATTGCACAGCACAGGTGTCGCTACAATTAGATGCATTCCCAAATGTTTACAAATATTTACAAATCAGAAGGACAACAAATTGAAGTAAACTTTACTTTGCTTATAATACGTTCTGACAGCCGCGCTATAATTGCAGAGTGGACAAGAAATTGGGGGGGACTTTTCCTAGCCAAAAGCCAGAACGTGTGCGAGATCGACAAAAGTAGGGCTGACATTCTGATGTTAATTATTCTTCTATTGTTCCAAAAATGTCCCAAAGTGACTTTTCAGTTGTCCCAGTCTAAATTTTAGTGGTCTGTGGCCATCAGGACACTGTTAATTTCGAGCCCTGAGACTACCCAGGCATATTGAGTGGAAACTGAATGGCGTGGAAAAATATCTATACCACAATGAATTTGACGAACGAGCTGCCATGTGTAAGATCAGAATAAGTGCGCATCCACTAGAGATAGAAAAAGGCCGCTATAGAAAACTACCTGCGCACGAGAGATTATGTTAATATTGTACAATGAATGCAGTGGAAAATGAAATACATTTTGTTAGCCAGTGTCCTCACTATGAGACCGAAAGAAACAGATTATTTCAGACAGTTACAACAATCTCTCCATCATTTCGTCATTTAGAAGATCACCAAAAGACTACATTTCTACTAAGATCACAAAACCCACTAATTATGCAGAATGTGGGACTATTCATTATCCACTGCCTTCAAAGAAGAAGTTGAACCCCTTAATAGCTAGCGTAGTAGTAGAAGTAGAGGTTTTTTTTCCAGACAGATTGTTACCTGTCTCCTGTTACTGTATACTTGACTGTACAAGCAATTAGCCTTCGGGCATGATTTTGCAAATAAACATCATTGAGTGTATTTCTGTATCTCACCTGTCTGAGTTGGAAGACTCCTCCTGTCAGTACCTCAGGTTTCACCTGCAGTTCTACAGGTGTGTACTCTCCCTGTTCATTCAGCTCCTGAATCTCCACCCACAACTCAATCTTCCTGATCAACTCTCCCCACCTACAACACAACAGTTTTATGTTTAAAGTTAAAACTTTTGGTCCAACACAAAAAATTCCCTCACCTAGAGCTTTCGACCAGTCACTCTGGTCTTCCTCAGTAGACTGACCCAGTGAAGCTTGTCACGTGGCTTCTTTGAAGTGTGACGTCAACGCTAGGTCAAAGTATCTGGTAGACGATGTCAGCCCCCGTCGCGGTTCAATGAAGGGTGATGGGCCCTGATGTATATGGCTTCCTTCACCCCTCTCAAGAAATAGTCTTGTTCAGTGTCCAAAATCCTTACAGTGTCAAGTGAAACAAAGTGTCCGGGTGACTCTATGTGGATGTGGATGTCTACCAGATACCTTTGACCCAGTGTTGACGTCACACTTCAAAGAAGCCACGTGACAAGCTTCACTGGGTCAGTCTACTGAGGAAGACCAATAGCAGTATTAAGCTGTCAGGCAATAGCAGTATGAACAGACCTGTCTCTCAGGGACTTTGCCTTCTGTGAGACGTGGTCCACCTCCCAGCCTGGCTTGGTGGAATCGAACCCTGCACTCCTGTGGCCCCACACTTCGATCGACCACGCGCCATTCTCCAAGAAATCCATGAACTCTTCTGACACATTTACCGTGAACTCCTGCAGCGAGAACGAAATATAATTATACAAACTTTCAGTTAAGCTGCAAGAACTTGATGCACTGGTATCTGTATCTGTATCTGTATAGCCGGTATAACCGCCTTTCGGCGTAACACACCAGCTTCGCAGGCACGCGGCGCGGCGGCAGCTGGCTATATTACACCGATCGACTTGTTACACCTAACCCTTGAACTTCTAGCTCTAGACATTGTTTAAAGCTATCTATTGACAGTGCCCCTACTGTACTTGGTGACAGTGAGTTCCACTCTGCGATAGTTCTAGGAAAGAATGAATTCTTGAACACCTCAATCCTTGGTTGATAACTCTGGTACTTGAATGCGTGGCTATTTCTTGTTCTCTTCTGGGCTGGTATTAGGTACTTAGTAGTTGGGACATCCACCAGTTTATTAGTCATTTTGTACATCATGCATAGTCTAGACATCTTTCTTCTGTCTTCAAGTGAGGTCCACTGTAGGTTTCTTTTCATTTCCGTGACACTAGCACCTCTTACATAGTTGTTCATACAGAATCTTGCAGCTTGATTCTGTACCCTTTCCAATTTGTCTTTGTCTTTCTTTGTATATGGATCCCATACTGTCGCAGCGTATTCTAGGTTCGGTCTTACAAGTGACGTGTATGCAAGTGATTTTACTCTCGTTGGACATGCCCACAGATTACGTTTAATCACTCCCAATGTCTGTTTCGCCTTAGTTGTGATATTATTAACATGTGCACCCCACTTCAGTCCGCTTGTCAGCGTGACGCCCAGATACGGATGGATTTTTGTGGTTGCTAAAGCCTGACCACAAAACTGGTAGCTAGTTGCATGTGGTGTTCGTTTGTTTGTTATGTGCATAATGTAGCATTTTTCGGGATTAAACTGCATGAGCCATTTGCTTTGCCATTCTTCCAGGGTGTTCAGGTCTTTTTGGAGAAGTTGTGAGTCGGTCTGTGTAGAAAGCTCTACATACAATAGACAGTCATCGGCAAATAACCTCACATTTGAGTCAAGCTGATCTGGTAGGTCATTTATATACAAGAGAAAGAGCAATGGCCCCAGGACGGTTCCTTGAGGGACCCCAGACGCTACTTTAACTGGAGCCGACGCCTTCCCTTCAACCACTACTGTTTGCTCCCTGTTGGCCAGGAAAGCCTTTAACCAATTCAGCGTAGGGCCTTGGATTCCATAATACTCCAGTTTTGAGATGAGCCTGCCATGGGGGACTTTATCAAAGGCTTTAGTGAAATCTGGTGAATATACAACCAGTATATGTACATGTAAACATAGGATAAAAGATTGATGATACCAAAGCATTGTAGTGAAATAAAGCAAAAAATCTACCAGGCATTCAACACTGTAATTCCGACATGCTGTATATTCCGAATAAGGCCACACCAATTTTATTTCTTGGTAAACGGATTTGCTCGTTTCATTTTTTTCTGATTTGCAAAAAAAAAAAAACTGCAAAATGCTCATATTTTGCCCTGAACAGTTGAAAACAGTCCTTTTCTTCCTAGTTGTTACAGTTATTCCATCTTCCAATGCAGTTTTCAAAACTTCAAAATTCCTTGAATGTTTAAATTTTGAACTAGCCTGGTGTGTTGACTTCAAGGCTCTTATTGTACCATTTTGGGCCATAATACGATGCCTAGGCCTGTTTTCATTTTTTTTTCTTTTTGCCCGCCTGCTCCATTATTTTTCTAGAAAAATCCGTAAACCAAGAAACTGAATAGGTGTGGCCTAAGCATCTAATGTCTTTACAAAAGAGGCCCACGTACCCTGGAGTGTTCAAACCTCATGGTGGTGCCTTTGACAGACCGGTAGGATGGCAGCTCAGGGTTGATGACGGGAGGTACCACTACAGAGGAGGGGTGTCCCCAGAACGTGTACTGACAGAACACGAAATGGGACAGGGAGGGAGGGAGGTCTGTGGCCTCCAGGATCTTCAACTGTGAAACAAATAAAATACAATGAGCAATTCAAACAAATCGGAACAACCTCAAAGTAAAGCAACAGGTGTCCTTGCCTATGATTTTATTCACACACGGTCAGTTTTAAATTATTATTTGCTCAAGCAATTAACTTAAGTACTTACTTTCATTCACAGCTAACAAAAATAATGTCTTTTTTCTCAACTAAAATAACAGTATCTGCTCTGAAAAGTAATATCAACATAACAAAAAAGGACACAAAATATAACCCTGACAGAATATCTTTGAACTAAAAGGCACAACATTTTTCTAGGGTCAGTCGGGAAACAGGAGACACAACTTTTTTTTTCTTATGCCTAGCAAGCTAAACAATATCAAAGTTTAGACAGGCACTAACCCTGAATGTCAGCGGCCCACCCAGCGGGGCCCCCTCCCCCTCCGGGTCGATAATTTCGAAGCTGCTGTGGCTCTCACTGGAGCTGCCGTCAGAGTGGGCATCAGCCTGGAGCCTGTCTGGAACAGTGCCTGCCACCTTCACTACCTCTACATGCAGTCTTCCTGACGCCTGCCAACATGGACAACAGTTTGGGTCAATCATCAACATCATCATCATCATCCACTGTATTCTGCATCAATTGTAAGAAAACATCCTGCAGCTGTATTCATCTCCTTCCACTTTGTCTTCTGTCTTGCAAGCTCCCTTAGCTCTAGGAGTTTCTTTTCTGTTGTGGGAGGGGCTAGCATGCTGCGCTTTGAGTCAATATACATTGTATACATGTATATAGCCACCTCTTACTATCAAGGGTCAGTTAGTACTTAATCTCAGCGAGTCAAGGTTGTCTTAAACATAGCTTGAAATTCATTTTTGGGAATAGGTGCACCGGTGCACCCAACCTAGAAAATTAGGTGTACAAAATTTATTTTGGGTGCACCATATAAAACAAAATGTATATACTACATGTAATTACAGATCTTACTGCTCCTTTTCTAAGCTTGAATTTGAAATGGGAGCTAACTTCAAAATCTTAAACAAGTACTACAACAAAGATTTTATTATTTTTCTGACACTTGGATGCCAAGAAAATCCTGTACTAACAAACAAAGAATGAGTAACACCTTCGTTGTATACATATAGACTTAGTTACAAGGGCAGAGTTTATATGAAAGAAACAGATTACAAATGGAAGAAGCATATGTAATTATACCTCGCCCTGTTGGCTGATGATGGGCACAGCGTACTCAAACCTAATGTCATGATACAGACACTCCAGGAACACGTTTGCCACTCCAATCAGGTTATGGTTCTCCTGGGACTCATAGAACGGATCTTCCCTGTCCTCCATATCCTTAAAAAAAACAAAAAAACACATCAACATCACATTTTACAATATAGCCCCTGACCAAAGGTTCTGACCAAAGCATAATTATGGAAAATGAATTTCATTTTGTTATGAAATGTACCAAATAAGATGTTTTACGTAACGAGCTATTTGCATTTCTCGAAACAAGTACAATAGATTTCAAGAGTCTCGATGTTGGAGACAGATTTGAATATATCTTTACATGTAATGGTCCCCACAACGCAAAAATAGGTAGATATATAAAGGAATGCTTTGTTATTAGAAAAAAATACCGAAACTTGTGATTAGCCCACTCGATTGTAACACTTTATCAAAGACTTGTGATATCCCTTATTATTTGAATAATTATGATATAGATATGTTAGGTTTTATTCGACATTAGGTCTTATTCAACACTTCTTTTATTGTTTGTTACTCTCTTTATGTAGTTTGCCATACATTGTACCATGTGCAAAGTTAATTTTGAGGCCTGCTCTTTCTCCCTACCTGTATCTCTCTGCCCTGTTCCATGACCTCCTGATAGTAGTCTCTCATGTCAATGATTCTGTTCTCTAGTTTCTCCATGGACCACACCTGGGTGCTTCGCCCTTTCCTCTTCACCTGGATGGCTGGCTCACTGATAATGATCCCCCTCTGCAAAAAATGGCACAACCCATATTCAAGCATCTGTGCAGCTGCGACAAGTTTTGTAAACCTATAGGGCTGCTATAAAATCATTAATGATGAAAATTGTGATGATTCCCTTAAAAAAAAAGAGTGATACAATGATGTCCGTGAGCAGTGGATCATAGGTTGCAAAAAGTCTGTGGCGCCCCCTGTCTCTGTTGAGGGATGGTTGTAATGCCCTGATGTAGACTGAACGTGTGTTATCTGCATGACGTCATGGAAGTGGTGGATTGCTCATTCCTTGACAAAGACTGGAGTTGTACAGTCAAAAATTTGAGTCCAATTTCTTGTGTTGGAAATTGCAGTTTAAACTTGCTTCATAATGATTTCTACCAACACAGATGAACTTTCAAGATAACCAACAGAACAACTGACCTTCCTGTTAGGACTGAGGTTGGAGGCTGGGATCTGTAACGTCACGTGGAACTCTGTCATCTTCTCCAGCTCCTGCGCGAGAGAGTTGGCTTCCCGAACCAGCGCATTCGCCTTTACTATCTCCTCACGCAGCTTGGCAAGGCCTTGTCTGAACAGTTCATCTCTGGGGACAATACATTGTAGGTTATGTGTGAATGAGTGGCAAATCTAACATACAACATGTGGTACACGGGACTCGAAATACAGGGTGCATGTGCACCTTAGTGCACCCATAAGTGGAGCTGTGCACCCAAATTTATTTTGTGTGTGCACTGGTGCACCCAAATATTTTTGTAGGTATTTTTGTACATATCAAATGTATAATAGTATACAGCATATTCTTGGCATCTAACTGTTAGAAATAATAATAAAACTTTTGTTAAGATTTTGGAGTTTAGCTCCCATTTCAGATTCAAGCTCAGAAGAGGCCTATAAGCAGTAAGATCTTTAATTAAGTTTCGTTTTATATGGTGCACTCCAAAAAAATTCATAGTGATTTTAACAAATCAGAAGCACTAACTGCAAACTCTCCTGCAATCTTCTAAGGGTTTAATTCTTTAACTAGAGAAGAGATAACCTGAACAGAAAAACATTAACAAAATCTAATAGCAAAGTTCTTTGATCACAACCATTTATTTTTCATGAGCCGACGTTTTGATGACCGTCTGTCATCTTCATCAGGACAATTCTGACTGGTTTACTGTGCACTGACACTAGATGTGACTTGGTGCATAGTGCACTAAAGGTGTTAGATGTGCACTATGCACCAAGGTGTTACTTTAGTGTACTATGCACCAAGTAACATCTAGTGTCAGTGCACAGTAAACCAGTCAGAATTGCCCTGATGAAGATGACAGACGGTCATCGAAACGTCGGCTCATGAAAAATAAATGGTTGTTTATTTGTTTATTTGAATTTTTCACAAAGTGAAAGGGAGGGCAAAACAGGTGCTTACGCACCTTTACAAGTTGCCCTCCCTTACAAAAAACAATGAATGTGTAAACACACATGAACAACAACAACATTACACAGTCAAATACATAATCAATTGCAGCAATATGTAGAAATAAGCAATAAATATAACAATATGATATGTTAAGCATTAAACAATTTTACCTAATAATAGGTGGGAATACATCATGTTGATATAGGAACTTAGTAGGGTCTAGAGGCAATGCAAGAACTGCACCCACAAGAAGTGGTCCAAGTACATGGCAGGTCAAGACTGTAATGTGTGTTAAATCTGTTGTAGGTGGCCTTGAGGAGTTTGTGTTTAAATGATGTAATATCCGACTGATGAGCTGCTCGCTCACCAGTACCGCGGAGGTCAGAGCCTAACTTATTCCAAATAGTGACTAGCCTGGGGATGTATGTGTGACTGTGTGATCAAAGAACTTTGCTATTCATTCGTTTACCAACCTGATTTACGGATTAACAAAATTGTAATGGTATCCTCACCTTTCCTCCACCCACTGTGTGTACCTGGGGTGCAGGTTGGGGTTACTGACGGCGTGAGACAGGCCGCCAAATGACTCCACCGCCTGCTTGTTCTGTACGGGAGAGCTCAGCTGCTGCCGCAGCACCTCCAGCTTCTTCTCGTACATCTCCCGCTGTTTCTCCAGCGCTCCCTCTTTGTCCTTCTCGTGCTGGGACTCCAGGGACTTCATGGCATTCTGGATAGGGTCTGGGGAGGGGGGCAGAAAAAAAGTAAACAAACAAACAAGAAAACTTTGCTTGTTTTCTTCCTTATCTTTTTTTTTATTTACTTCAGAATTCACCTCAAAACAAGGCTCGTGAGAGCCACTTACATGTTTTGGGTTACAGTGATGACTGCGTGGTCAGATATTTGTTCACCCTTGATTTAAACCGTTGGAGGTTGTAATTAGCGGTGAAACATTCACGGGGAAGCTTGTTCCACAGTGAAGTGGTTCTGGGGAAGAAACTGTCAGCATGAAATTTTCTCTTGACTGATGGACTATTGAGGAAGAAAGGGTGATTTTCTGCTGTTGAGGTGGCTAAGCGTGTTCTTGCAGAGAATGTTCTGAGTGGGGGTACAAGGGAGTGAAGTTCAGCAGAGCATTATTATTATCTTTCATTATTATTATTTTATTATGTAGATCTGGTAATGATTCTGTGGAATTTATGGCTTCGAGAAACCAAGTTTCTTTGCAATGGACATTAGAGAGGTTTTGTGTAAATTTAATGTAAATTCTCTTTCAAAGAGTGTTTTGAAACCAGTGTACCAGCTTCTCTCCATAGTTTGTACATGTAAGTACTCAAACTGATACTAACTTTCACCAGATTTTTACATCCTTTGAAGTAATATAGAATGTATAGCCTATGCCCTCTATTGTCTCCCATTGACTATTAAATAGTCATGTATTTGCCTAAAAATTACTTGTCTGAAACAACACTTTGCTTTGCTGTTAATGTAACCTTTAAATCTGATTTTAGTTGGCAGTACGCACCATTCATGAGCTCCACCATCATGACTTCATTCTGGGCAAAGTCATAGTCAGCACGGGAGACCTCTACATCGGGGGTGGACGCAACTGAACCTGTGGGAGGGGGGCAAAAATTGTCATAATCATCATTGATTGTATCAATAATTCAACCATCGAGAAATGTGTGTGTTACAGTGAGTTAAGTGTAGCCTTTCATCTCATGGTATACATATAGAATACAACACGGTGTATTCCGTATCGCCCGAGGTATTGGCCCGACCACGAGCCAACTTGCGGGAGGGCCGGGACTGAGGGCAATACGGAATACACCTTTTGTATTTGATTTATGTCATACCCACCCAAGAAAACACGTCTTTCAATGCAAAATGAGCCAAAAAGCTGTTTTCCCTACATCCCAAAAACGCAACAACTTCAGTTCCAACATACGGATTCTGTGTCTGAATTTTCGAAAGCGGTGCACGCGGTTAGGGCAAAACCTTGTTGTTTAAAGCTATCAAGTGAAGATACCCCTAGACTGTACTTGGTGGCAACGAGTTCCACTCTACGATAGTTCTAGACACCTCAATCCATGGTTGTGTCTGTCTTCTCTGTCCTAACCAGTGGAAGAGTAGCTCAATTGTTTGCTGAGTTAATGTGAGGTAAACTGGCTATCACACATTGCCTGAGGCAACACCATTGTGTAACAGTAAAACTACCTGACCTGTTACCTGTGCAAAGGTGTGATCGGTGACATTCTAATAATTTCTATACGGAACATACCAAATAATCAGAGAAGAGGGGTAACCAGGAACTGTATCGAGGATACTCGAGGTTTGTATCTTTCTGCCAAGACCAGTCATATCTGCCGGAAAATTCTTTTTCTCTTGGATTATCCTACGTGAAAATTCCCAATTTTGTGCATTAATTTTGGCATGAAAATAATTCTTTTTTTGGTTAATGTCACAAAAATCAAAGAGTTTGAAGAAACAAAATTCAGTCAGTCTTGTAGCTGAAGGGATATCCTTCCATCCTATATACAGTTATTTGGCTTCCAAATTATTCCCTGGAAGAAGCGGTTGCTAGACTTGAGGGTGTGCCATCCTCCTTCGCAGGGCTAAAATCCTCCGGTTCCTTCGGGTGTGCAGACTCAAATGGAACCCCGAAAAAAACTTAACTATCCAACCAGGTACCCATTTTACACCTGTGTAGAGTGAGGAAAATTATGCCTTTCTATTCTAAAGACACAACATCTAAGCAGCAACAACAGGGATCAAACCCGCGACCTCTCGATCTTAATGTGTTTGTTAGCCTAGCCACTTGGCCATTCAAGTTTTGTGCATGTAACAGACTAACGTACTCACCGACCCCAGACCGGGGACAGTTGATGCGGAAGAAGTGATGGTTCCCTAAGAAGATCCTGTTCCCATTTCTTAGTAACGTCTTCTGAGTCACACAGTCACCGTTCACACAGCATCTAAGAAGTAAAACCACAAATTATAAGTCAGTTGACTAGTTTCTTGACCAGAGTTCCTTGACCACTGTTTCTTGGTCTTTTTTATCTCTATTTCATCTTTGTACCTCACAATATTATGAATACAGTCAGATTTCAATACTAAATCTAACCCTTGCCTCATGGCTATACTGTAGACAATTTTTGCAAAATATTGTTACAGTATCACAATTTTGGCAAATATTGTACTACAATTTTGGCAAATATTGTACTACAATTTTGGAAAATTTCTTACAATTTTGGCAAAAAACAATTTTGGCAAGTCTTGTACAGTTAAAGTTGTATACATCTGGACCGTCCCACCTTGCTTCAGGCATGGGGGTGATATAGACATCCTCCCCCTCCAGGTCGATAATGCAGTGTTCCGGCTGGATCCCTAACCCACTCAGCTGTATGTCCTGAGGGGTGGGGGCATCGGGTCGTCCCACTAGGGTGTGATCCTGGGGGGGAGAGGGACAGAGAAAAAAGATAAGTCAAAACGGATGGTCTCTATATGGTTGTTTCTTGCTATTTCAGAAAATACAAATTTAACTCAGAAAGAAATTGGGAATTTGGAAAATTAATTTCACTACAGGTATGCTATATGGGTATTAATGCTAATCAAAAATACATGTAGATTTCCCACCTTATAACAATGAACAAATAGCCTATTTAGTAAGTAAAATATAAATTTGGTGACAAAAATGAAACCGCACAAAATATACACATTAACAGTTGATGAAGAAAACAGAACTACAAAACTGTAGTTCTCAAATTAGCTAGTTGTAAAAAAAATCAAGCATCTTTTTAACAGACAACTATCACGTCAATTCTGCCTACTTACCAAGATATTGTCATCAGTGTCCTAAGAGAAATTTGGACCACTTTATCCAATGTCTCGACATTTCAAAAAAATGCTTGTCACAGTAAACTGCAATGTCGTCATCCTGATAATCATGATCAATAAATTTTGTAACACACGTAGGGACTAAGACGTCATGTGATTCATATTTCAGTATAATATGTTTTCTATGCCATTTATATGTGTCAGAATCAATTGAAGGATTACCTGGCGAAAATGTCACGTATGAATAAAAAAGATATCATTAATTCATTTCTTGATATCAATAATTTATGAAGAATGACTTGCAGACATTCAGTCAGCTTTCGTTAGATGATTCATAGAAGGCATTATCATATCAATATGCTGTTTGACTTTCATGAATTTTTTTTTGGGTGTGACTTAATGAATTTTCCAAAAGCTTTAATAGGAGTCAGACCCTTAACACTTTTCTAGATTGTCAATCAAAATATGGACTTTTGTTCACATTTTCTGGTGATTTTTGGACCAATTTTCTGGACATCCAATACCCAAATTCACTGTACCTTCTCTACACTCAGCCTTAAACAAATTAGGACAAATTTTCTGGACATCCCATCCCAAAATTCACTGTAACTTTTCTACAGCCAGAACAAATTTGGACAAATTTTCTGGACAAATTTGGACGAAATTGGACAAAATTCACTATGACCTCTCTACACTGCTGCCACCAGAATTTCCATTGTTTTTTGCTAATTTTGTTCAAGTCGAAACTCATTTATGCATTTATTGTGCATGGTCTGCTCATCCCCACCTTTAGATAGTAGACCAGCAGTTCGTTGAGTGAGGGGTCGGCGTTCAGGTTGACCAGGAAGTTCTTGTCCTGTTCTACCTTGATCCCAGACGTCTGCACCGAGATTCCCATCTTCTCCAGGGCCTGCTGCCTCTCCTGGTGGGGAGAATTCACAACTTGGTCAGACATTTGAGATTGGTTGGACTACTGATCAGTTTCATTTTCTCCATAATCTACTGACACTAGAAGTTGCTCTGTTAATTCTTACTCAAACACATTCATGTATATATGGTAACCCTCGCTTGCTACATGATGTAATCCAACACCACAGGATATCTGCTACAGCACCAGTTACCATGGTGACAGCTGTCTGGTTCAGGTCATTGACCTCATGCACTTTGAAAAGAAGAAGAAACTGAGCGAAAACAATGTATTTCGTTCTGTGCAGGTAAACATGACAAAGACAATGGAATACTAAGTCTTGTTTTTTTCTTCCTCTAATTCACATACCTGATGCAGTTTCTCTGTCTTGGCCAGTTTCTCCTCCCAAGTCGTTGTCATGTCCTTCATCAACTTCTCAGATTCAAGCAGACGTTCCTTCAAGTCTGGAGCCTTCAGACTCTGTGAAGGGAAGAAACAGATTTGTTGTAATAAGGAAAGGTAAAGTTCCTTAGCCTTTTTGAGGCTGTAGAGGCAGAAGAAAAAGGCGGAGCCCTTCACTCTTCTTTCACTGCCTTTTAGTTTTACCCCCCGAGGTCAGACACCCATTTTACACCTGCATTGATGGAGTGAGGAAAGTCATGTTAAGTGCCTTTTCCAAGGACACAATGCCAATGCTTTGAGATTTCCATGCCATTTTTGATGCATGCTTGTTAGTACTTCCTTTCTATAAATCTTACGTCTCAATTGCAAGCTTATGTTTTAGTCTGACGGTTGCAACAAACTCTGTATGGTGTCACAAAAAAAAGTAGAAAAATCTTACTTCTGCTTCAGTCAGCTGGACTTTTAATTTGTCCACTTCTTCTCGGAGTTCCCGGATTATCTGTAAGAAAAGGTTCAAGAATTGTCAACTCCAATGTACATGTTCTCATACATGCAACTTGTAACCCAAACTTTAGCAAAATAACATCACTCACTCACTCACTATCCGTGTTTAGATTATACTGCTGTATTCTTAAAGTGTACTCAACAAATTCTTCTATCATGTTGGTATCATTATGAATTATTACATAATAAGTCTCATTCACAGACTTAACGAAAGTCAACCCACAGGATAGAGGCAAATGGCGGGCTGCCATCAAGCCACAGTATCAGTATGCAAGCACAACCATACCTCAATAGACAGGGAACAACAGATGTTACCCGGATAGTAAGTGAGTAAGACTTACCTAAAAAATAATGTAATTCCTGACTTTTTTTCACGGTACCGTTATGTTCACTGTTTTCACTGTCACTTCTGTACCATGAACTTATCATTACAGTTAAGAAATAATTCCTGGACTTTCTTTCTCCTGCACCTGTCGCCACTGTGAATATATAGTTCCATGAACATGTCCACATTTCTCAGACCGTGAACTTTTGCTATGATGAACATAAAGTGAATTACAGTATAATCATTTCGTGATACAAAGTAAGACCATGAACAAAACTTTTTCAACCTACCCTGGCGTTAGGATCCTCATTAACAACGGCGTGGTTAACGATCCTCTTGGCCCTGTCAGCATATCTGAGTGTGGAGAGAGTCTCCTCATAGTTATCCAGCGCAGGGCTGATGGTGGCTATCATGGCTGTCTTACTGTTCCCTCCCAGGTTGTCCTACAAAAAAGACAAGAAAACAACAAGACTGGAAATGAAAAACATACACTGCCATGGCGACGGTGGTTGCTGTTAGGGTTATTGTTTGCATGGCACTGCCATGATTTCATTATTTTGAGGAAGCCTTGGTACCTGTTAAGTCTAGACAGATACATGTACAGTGCACTCCTCCCCTGAGTGTATAGTGAACAAGCCCCGGGGTCACAGAAAGTAGGGCATCCGGGGCAGACAGGTTTTCCCAAGGGTTTCCAGGAATGTGGGCATGTCAACAAACAGAGCTGTAAGACATTCCTGTGGACATTCCATGCCTGTGGACAAAATGCCTGTACAATTCCTAGAATTCTTGCAAATTGCACACAATGCTGTACCATTAGGCTCCTCCCTGAGAAGTCGCCAAAATTTCAAAGGCTGAAGTAAAAAGTGGCCCTACCTTGAGTAGCCATGTGAGGACTGAGTCCCTGTATGGTACAAACTTGTTCTTTGCACCTTTCCCAGCAGACTGGTCAGCTAAGGTGGAGATGACCAACCCAAGGGTACTTAGAGATCTGTAAGAAAACAGATTCTTTAGCAAAAAACTACAAACATATTTTACATTTCATGTGAACATGTTGAACATTGAATCATCGTAACATTTTGGACCATAATAGGATGCCATTTTTTTCACCCGCCCGCTCCATCATTTTTCTAGAAAAATCCGTTAACCAAGAAATTAAATTGGTGTGGCCTAAAGGTAAATATTCATCTGCAAAGTACAGAAAGACCAGGAGTACTGACTTGTTGATGTTGGACCCCTCCTTGAGTCTCTCCCCGGCTGCACCAGTCTTCGCGGCCCTCTCACTGCCAGCCAGGTCCACCAGACTCACCTTACTCACTTTCTCACCTGTCACCTGAGAAAAGGGGAAGTCAACAGGTGTGAATAAACTGTCATGAAAGTTCATCTGTGTTGGTAGTTACATATATATGCTTAAAGTTAAAACTTTTACTCCAACACATGAAATTGTTCTCACCTAGAGCTTTCGACTAGTCACTCTGGTCTTCTTCAGTAGACTGACCCAGTGAGACTTTTCCAGATGGCATTTCCAGTATAAATAAAGGGTATTGATTGATTGACTTGTCATGTAACACTTCTGAGAAGCCATGTGACAAGTCTCACTGGGTCAGTCTACTATTGAAGAAGACCAGAGTGACTGGTCAAAAGCTCTAAGTGAGAACCTTTTTTGTGGATCAAAAGTTTTAACTTTAAGCATGTGTACATTAACTTTGCATTCTTATAGATTCAACTGACATCTATCAATTTTGAATAACTTCTAAAAGCCAAATTGGACTCCATGCCTGATTTCAATAATATTTGCTTGACAGGGTTTTTTTCTCTGCAGTACTGCACTGTGCTGATAGGTGGTGCTGATAATCAAGCAAACCTCCTGACAGGAATATAAACTTTGCAGGGCAAGCCCTTTGTAATAGCCACTGGCTAGTTGGGCTGCCCTGGCTGTGAGGGTTGAACAGCCAAACCAAGAAATATTACAAATAGATAAACCCTCGAGTTCAACTCTAGAATCTATTAGACTCACCCCACTGGCGAGGTCCTTCAGTGTTTGTGTGACAATGATGTTGAAGACGGCGTGTGACCGACTGCTCTCTTCGTTCATACTAGTGGCCGCTACTGTACGCGACTTGTTCCCTTCATTCATCAACTTCTCTATATCCTGAAGAAACAAGGGGTCATGTTGATTCAAATTCAATCTTTATTTAAGCAACTCTGTAACTGTATAGCCGGTATAACCACCCTTAGGCCACATCAATTTAATTTGTTGGTTCTCAGATTTGCCTCTTCATTTTTTTTCGGATTTGCAAAAAAAAAAAAGATTCTGGTTCTGAATCAACTCAAAAATGCTCATATTTTGCCCCCAACACTGTTGAGGAAAGTCCTTTTCATCCTAGTTGTTTCAGTTTTTCCATCTATTAATGCAGTGATTTGGTTAAAAATCAAAATTCATTGTTCAAATATTAACCAGGCCTTTTGTGTTGACTTCATGGCTCCTATCATAGCATTTGGGGCTATCGTAGGATGCCTAGACCTGTTTTTATGTCGCTTCATATTTTTTCTGAAAAAATCTGAGAACCAACAAATTAAATTGTTGTGGCTTAAGTGACCGATGAAAGATAGCAGACAGTATGAAAATGTAGAGAATTTTTATGGGATGTATATCTTTGTTGATGTATGTATAATTGATATGGGCTTACCTCGTATTTTGTCACAGCTAAAACTTGCAAGCCATCTACATAAGGACCAAGGATTTTGTGCTCGCGAACCTTCAGGTTATGTTTTGTTCTGAAAAAACAAAAAACAAACGATTATAAGTACTAGTTATAACAACAATAAAATCTAAAACATTCAAATTTGGTAGTCAAAACATATGTTTAGATTAAGACAGGATATATCTTCTGGCCGCCCACAATGACTTGAACCAGAGGTCTGTCACCACGGTAACTGGTGTTGCAATTTTATAGTAGGAGGGATTTAGACTCCGGTCACTAAATATCTCTGAATGTGTTTGAGTAAGAATAACGGAGCAGACCATATGCTAAGGTAAATTTTGCTTTGCAAATGTTACCTTACATTTTTTTGTTTCTTTCTTTTTCTTTGTCCTAACTTCAGCAGATCGTTTTAAATTTGTTCTTACGTTCCAGGATCCAACAAGTCCCGGACTTTCTCGTTGTAGATCTCCATGTAGGAGACCTCGACCTTGAAGGAGAGAATTTCGTTGGACTTGGAGACGATACTGTCGAAGAGCGTGACACAGAGACGGGGGATGAGTCCACCATTGTCTGCTGCACCCATCATGGTGTAGGACTTCCCTGAACCTGGGTTATAATAGAGAAAAATAAAATACAATAAGGCCATACCAATTTTATGTATTGGTTCTCGGATTCGCCTCTTCACTTTTTTATGATTTAAAAATCATAACATACATGTAGGAGATTTCATTTAGACAATGACATGTATACACGTATTTCCGTAAATTAAGCCAAATTAATAATCTTCCTTATATCATTTTTCAGTCAAAAAATGAAAGACGCAATGTTTTGAAATATTATGTGCATGAGACATTGCTAAAAGTAATTATTATTATTATTGTTTTTTCATTTTATGTTGCTGGACCCCAGGAAGAATTGTATGGAGTTTACCATACTAATGGAGATCTCAATAAACAAACATACAAACAAACTTTTTTGTGTTATTACTTTGATTATACCATACCTGTTTGCCCATAGGCAAATATACAAGCGTTGTAACCCTGGAAGGCATTCTCCAGTATGTCTGCTCCCACACATTTGAACACAGTTTCCTGACCTGGAGAAACACAGCAAAAAGTAAAGATCAGATATCGATTATTTCTGTAACACTAACATATAGAATCACTACACATAACAGAGTTATAAATGTATTTTAAATCCAGCCACACCAATTTAATGTGTTGGCTCTCAGATTTTTTCAGAGAAAATATGAAGCGACAGGGCGAAAAAGAGATAAAAATAAAAACAGGCCTAGGCCTATTATAATTTATAGCCCCAAATGCTACAATAGAAGTCATGAAGTCAACACAAAAGGCTGGGTTAATACTTAAACAATGAATTTTGCATTGATAGATGGAAAAACTGTAACAAGTAGGAAGGACTTTCCTCAACTGTTGGGGGCAAAATATGAGCATTTTTTACTTTTAGTTGATTCAGAACCAGAATCTTTTTTTTTTTGCAAATCAAGAACCAACAAATTAAATTGGTGTGGCCATATGAACCTGTCTGTACCTCTATGAACCTGTGAGCTCCTGATTAACTTTGTATTGATTTGTTAAGACCCTGTCACTGACACATACAGGAGTCTAGTTTAACCTCATCGGAAGTTTTCCCATTTTCCTCGCCCCTCAGACTATGATTTATTGATCCTTACAGACTTATCCAGCTCTATTAACAAAAGAACTTGCCGGCACTAAATTATTAAAAACTCTATCGAAAATACAGATTGGAATTTGTTGCAGGTGAACTAGTAATTTTCTAGCAGCATGAAGGCACTTTCCTGAAATTGATCAGTTTTGATTTTCTTAATGTAAAAGTCAAGATTGATAAATGCGGTGCATTTAAATTGATTGGGGTTAACCTATAGCACACTTTGGCTACCCAATTCTCTATCTGCCCTTTGTTATGCATGAAATTAGCATGGAGAAGGTTAAAAGTATTTAAAAAAGGTTCAAAATCTTCTTAAGGGAGAAAAATAGATTTTTATGGTACAACAAATTCCCAATCATACAATCATATTAAGTTATATGACGAAGTTGACATTGCATCATGAGGTATTAAAACCAAAAGTTCAGCTGCAATACCATTAGAAGCCGCTAGGGGGTCCAAAATCTAATCATTTCCAGGACTCACCAAGACCTACCCACCTACCAAGTATCAAGACAATCCATTTAAGCCTTCTCAAGTTATCATGTTTACAGACACACACACACGCCTCTGAAAACATAACCTTCTTGGCGAAGGTAATAAACTACAGAAGTGGAGAATTTGACTTAAAGTACTGATGTATAACAAGGGCTAAGCAACTTCTAATTTTCCCTTGAGTACGGAGATTACAAATGATGCAATTTGTGTCTGAGCAATATGTTACAGTGTCTGTACTATTCAATTCCTGACCCTCACCAACAAAAAATCGTTTCTAATCAGTCTACCCAGAAATCAAATTTCCACAGTCATTACATGCCCCTGGGGGAGTTAAACTCCTTTTATTAGTTTTAACCTTATTCCTGCTAAGATAACCATTTAAATAGTACCAACTCTGTTCTGGAAAGAGGATGAGTGTTAGGCAGCAAGTAGAAGGTTAAACGTAGTAAGGTTGAGAGATAGAAATTTCACATCTTTTGCCTTAACAACATTTTATGAGTTGAAATGTAGGTGTAATTTTTTTTCCATCACAATATCTGTAATGGGTGACAGTTATATTTTGGGACTAGTAATAAGTGAAATCAAATTGATTTACAAATCAAGTGTATTTCATCAGAAATTTTCTACAGGAATACCATCCTATCTGTGGATTTTAGTGCAATTTTGCCTGCACTAACCTGCACAGGGCTGGAAATACTGGGGGCATGTGCACCTTAGTGCACCCAAAATTGGAGCTGTACGGCCAATTCTTTTCTGTGGGTGTACCGGTGCACCCCAATATTTTTGTAGGTATTTTTGTACATATCAAATTATAATACATGTAGTATGCAGGATATTCCTAGCATCTAAGTGTCACAAAAATAATAAAATCTTTGTTGTAGTACTTCTTTAACATTTTAAAGTTAGCTCTCATTTTAGATTCAAGCTCAGAAGAGGAGCAGTAAGACCTGCAAATAGGTTTTGTTTCATATGGTGCACCCAAAAAATTTTTGTGCACCTAATTTTTTAGGTTGGGTGCACCAGTGCACCTATTCCCAAAAATGAATTTCGAGCCTTGCTGCATAAGCAGGAGGTATATTAGGAGCTGTGGTTAAATGCCATATGCCTAAAGTATTCAATACAAACTCCCAGGAGGATTTTATACTTGAAGTAGGAAATTTTGCCTGAGCAACATGCTGCCAATAGTTGACCCGGGGTGAGAGTAAATCGTTTCTAATCAGTTACATCCAACGATTCAATCCCTGCTATTTTAGTATGACTACAGGAGGGCCTACATGGGGGTGGGGGAGTGGTCATTACGATTTACGCAAAATTTTCGCCGCCGATTACGAATTACGTTCAAGTCTCAGGGCTGATTACGACTTTACACTTTGCGGATAATGTACTATTACTATTTGAGTATTACGAATTACGTTGATTTTTGGGGAGCGAGGCTGCCTACGGATTAAGAAGACTAAACAGGCCTGATTACACCTTACGGAAAATGGCATGCAGGCCCACCCTATAGTAGAGGATGGTATTGTCTGAGGTTACAGCTACAACTTGTCCTAATCACTCTTGCTGTCAACTTCAGCCATGTTTGTGAAACTTTTAACATTCTCATGAGCATTCAACAACTGTAAATTCTACTTTATTTGGTTGTTACATGTATTACAAATGTATATATATTCACGTTGAATCGTTGATGGTATAGATTTTTACCGCAAATATATACCGTAACGACGTAAGTTGAAAAAAATATTTGAACACGATACCAATATTTCGTAGAATGGCAAAATCAAACGAAGACGAAAATGTAAAGAGATGAATTTGAAGAGTAAATAATTCGCCATACCATACTCTGTGTTATTTGTTCAACCTTCATGACCAAATAGATTTCATAATGAAAGCAACTTTTTTTTTGGAAAACTTTTTTTTTTCGCACCCTTGCATCAGTTTTGGGGTTCCCAGCGCATGTTATCCATATAATTAAATCAACATGGCCTAAACACTGCCCAGCTGTGTAGCCCACCCCAAATCACCTGTGTCCACATAAAGCACAGTTCTTTGCACAGGTAATGACAGTTCTGGGAGGTTATTATGTCAAGCCTGCACAGCTGATGGGGCAATAACTATCCTCACAATTATGCCACAACATTGCGATTGGGTCATGTCAGGGCTCAAAACTAAAGGCCTGGTCACAACCCGCCGCACGTGCATCTGCGTGCTGTCTACGTGAAAAAACGTGGGCATCCGTGCGTGGTGGGTACCGCCTCCGTACGGAACCCTACAGATTTGAGAGAACGCAGACACGCTGTTGAACTTTACGTGCATGTAAAACTTTTTTTGCGTGCGGTCTGCGGATGCACCACCCGTGTGTGCGAGTAGAGCAACACACGTGCCCCGTATGTACCGTACGGAAGAAGTACGTGTGAGTACGGCCTCCTTACGGTAAAGATGCAATCGCACAGAAATCTTGCGTTGGAAGCACATACAACTCACTTACTACTTGTGCAATGAACGATGCACGCGACCGCTCACGGCCAGACGTGGCGTGCAGACCACACTCTTACACCTTGCGCAACTGTGCGAGTGACGTGCGTCAATGCCACTCCTTCCCCACGTTTTCAGAAAAAACCTAGCCCCCCAGAAAACATACAGCCAAAAAGCATGTACGGCAGGTAATGTGACCAGGGCTTAAAGGTGGTCCAATGGCCACTGACCACTAAAATCTAGGCCAACTAAAAAGACACTTTGGGACATTTTTGGAATTGAAATTACCTGTTCCAGACAAAAATTATCTCTAACCACTCATTTTCTTTCCCTTTTAATAGTTTTACTCCATCAGACTCAAAATAATTATAGTAAAAAAGCTAACTAAAGATGCTCTTCCTTGTTTCTGTATGTACATGTATGCTGGTAGTATTTCCAGCCCTGGCCATCTATTAAAGATTGCCCTATAGTCCTCAGTACTCTACTAAAGAGGTAATGCCACCTGTGCCCTAGGATAATTAGCTAAATTACAAATACTGTAGAATCCATACTATAGAGTACAGTGTCTTAAATAAGTGACTGGCTTTGTGTATATGAATCTTTTAACACTTCTAATAAACACACAGCAACACACAAATTTTCTTCAATCAAATATTTACAGCAGGCTGATTACGTTCTCTTAATTGACCCACATTCTTATTAAGCTCCAAATACATTGGGGTAGAAGATTGTATCATTTCCTTCAGAGAAGCCGAGAAGTCTCAAGACATTACAATTTTGTATCTTAAGAATTGAAGATTACTTTCATGGCCTGTTTTTCCTTTAACTTAAGTCAAACCTGTCCAAGCACCTTTTCAAGCCAGACACCTGGCCTTAAAAAAAAAAAATTCCATTTCCAACCAGTTTTCCAGTTCCTTCCAAGTATTTTTTTCCAAAGACCACCTGTCTAAGAAGACCACTTTACCTCACTGCTCTAGGTGGCCTTCTTGGACAGGTTTGACTTTGGTTTTATATCACTGAGAACCCCTAAATATTCCTTCCAACATCCAGTCTACCTGTCCATTATGTATAATTATCATATAGCCGGACGGCGTGGACCAATCAGAGGCCCGGATACCCGTGCTGTTATTTCCCGATAACAGCACATGTGGTGTTATGGCGGAATAACAGCACATGTCGTGTTATGGCTGATACCATTATGTTATAGGGTATAGGGGCATGCGACTCTTTCTGTAAACCTTTGTAGCATTTTTATGTCTAATAAACTTTTTTGTTTAGCTTCATTTAAACTACAATTTGCATTAAATGAAATTATCCATATTTGTTTTAAAGCGTATAATATATTCGAATGTATTTTTTATGTATGTATGTATATATATTAAAGCTGTTGTATTTCAAACAGGAATTGTGTTGATTGACAGTTTGGATAGGCTATATGAT